TCTTTGTATATAGTAGTTGGTGATGGCTCTTGCCTTTTATGTTGGGATTTTACAAGGTGCAAATACAGTTTGGCTGTCTGGCCAGACCTGCTATCACTTGTTAGGTAAGGTGGGAATAAAGGGTCCTGCCCAGGTCAACTTCAGGGCTAAGTCCCAGAGTCAGATGCAGAAGCAGCAGCCAAACGATTAGCTTATCGGACCGCTGGCACTTTCAGGGACCTCCCCTCTGCACCGTGGGAAAATTGTACCCTGTGGGTGCAATGCTGGACCATTTTGTGGGTGTGTTCCCACCCGCCTGAAGGTGTCTAGGCTGGGCAGATTGGGTGCAGCAGGAGAGAGAAGGAAAGAAAAGTAGGCGGGGGGGGAGGGGAGCTGTTACACATCTTTATGCTCACTCTGTGTCTTCAGCCCTTTATCAGCCTGGCTGTGACCAGCTTTCATCAAAGATTCATCTGACATCAGCAATGATAGCCCTCATTCCACGTCTCCATCTGCATATGGCTTAAACCTCTGGCTCCTTCCAGTCAATGTACTGTTGCAGCCATTTTTAAATTATCTTTAGCAAAATTTTACTTGCATGCGATATTAATGATATTTTGCGATCCTTTTCACATTCCATTGGGTCACCTCTCTTTAGAATTAGAACAAATATGGATCTCTTCCATCCTTCCAATTAGGAGTCAGGTAGCTGTTTTCCAGAATTCATGTCATATATGAGCGAATGCCTCCAAGATTGCATCAGTTTGTTTAAAGATTTCAATTTGTATTCCATCAATTCCAGGACCCTTGTTCTTTGCCAGTGCCTTCAATGCACACTGGGCTTCTTTCATTATCACTGGCTATTGATCATATCGTACTTCTTGAAATGGTTGAACATTGACCATTTCTTTTTGGTACAGTGACTCTATGCATTTTTCCCATTTTTTTACTCACTCTACATCATTTAATATTTTGACTCTATGTATTTTTCCCATTTTTTTACTCACTCTACATCATTTAATATTTTGCTAAAAGAATCCTTCAGTTTCAAAGTTGAGGTTTGAAGGTTTTTCTTAGTTCTTTCAGCTTGACAAATATTGTACATGTTCTTCCCTTTGGGTTTTCTAACTCTGTTTCATTATCATGTTTGACTTTGTGTTGGTGAACGGCACTTTAAAATTATCTGTTCAGCTTTCTTACCTCATTTCTTTGCATCTCTACGCTAAAGAGCAAGTTTCAGAATCTCTTCTGACATCCATTTTGGTCTCTTCTTTCTTTCTTGTCTCCTTAGTGTCCTTTTGCTTTTCCTTCCTGTATGATGTTCTCAGTGTCATCCCACAACTCTTCTGGACTTGAGTCATTAGTGTCAAATGCATCAAATCCATTCTTGAGATGGTCTCTAAACTCAGGTGGAATATGTTCAAGGTTGTATTTTGGGTGTCGTGGACTTGTTTTAATTTTCTTCAGCTTCTCTCTGAACTTGCATATGAGCAACTGATGGTCTTTTCAGTCTGCCCCTGGCCTTGTTTTGGCTGATGATATGGAGTTTTTCTATAAGGAGCTCTAGTAGTGTAGTAGTTACGAATCGGGCTGCAAATCACAAGGTCAGCAGTTTGAAACTATCAGCTGTTCCGCGGGAGAAAGATGAGGCTTTCTGCTCCCATAAAGATGTACAGCCTTGGAAACCCTGTACAGGGTCACTATGAGTTGGAACTAATTCCATGGCACATCATAAGAACAATATACTTTCTTACATTATCCTTTAATGTTTATCAAACAAATGGCTAAATCTAAACCTTTTCATGTTCTTCAGATTAATTTTCCATGTTAGCCAGTTCAACTAACACTACTTAATGGTTTGTTGCTGTCGTAGGTGCCATCAAATCGGTTCTGACTCAGAATGACCCTGTATCTGGTGGGTTTGAAGCTCCAACCTTGCAGTTAGCAAGTTCAGTGCTGAACTTAGATCATCACACAAGGACTCCTATTCACCTAATACCATGATCTATCCATTTCCTATTGACTCAAGATGACCTCTCACCCTACCATACACACAATTTTTATATATACACGTGGAGCTACTTCCCAACTCCCTAGTCCTACCCACTCATCTACCTGTTCATGAGTTCAACATTGTTGCAACTGATGTGGCTTCTTGTTGACATCTGTTAAGGTGAGACCTCCTTTATTACTCTATTCTTTCTTAGTTAGGCTCAAGTAATCACTCTCTCAAATTAATCATATTTTAAGTTAAAAAACAAAACTAATGCTGGGATTTTTACAAAAATTACACCAAACTTAGTCATTAATTTGGGAACACCTAACATCTCTTTCAGAGTTCTGGTGTGGCGCTCTAGGCTAATGGGTCAGGCTGCAAAGTGTTTGAACCGTAAGGTCAGTGGTTCAAGCTCACCAGCTGCTCCTTGGAAACCCTATACAGGGTAGCTATGGGTCGGAATCAACTCGACGGCACTTAACAACAACAACAACAACATCTCTTTAATATTGATTCTTTTAATTTAACTACATAGCATATTAATCTTCTTTTACAGTCATAAAGCATATGTCTGCCTGGCACAATGAAGTTTATTTGTAGACAATTACAATTTTCTTATGCTGTTATGAATGGGATCTTTGTAAACCTGTTTTCCAACTGGTCAATACCAATATAATTAGTACCCAGGTTATGAACATCCAACTTACGTACAACCTGTAATTACAAACCAACCAACCAACAAAGCCTACTATATCAAAATTTCAAGGCAAATATAATGGCTCATAATAACAAATAGGTACGACTTCCCAACACACATAAACACATGACTGTGAGTCCTGGTGTAGAGTTGTGGGATAAAGCACTGGAAAGCAAGGTCGGTTTGAACCACAAGGTCGGCAGTTCAAATTCACCAACCTCTCCTCAGAAACCCTTTATAGAGTCGATGTGAGTTGGTAACAACTCCATAGAACTTAATACCAACATTATTAATATACGTTAAGATTTACAGCCTCGGAAACCCTGTACAGGGTCGCTATGAGTCGGAACCAACTCCATGGCACATAACAACAACAACAACAACATGTTAAAGATATTTCAATGTATCTGGAAGTGTTTCAACTTTTTTATGCATAGAAAGGTACACTATCACATACTAACACAAACTTTTGACTGACATTAGATAAAAAATGTATCTAACTGTTCCGACTTACATATAAATTTGACTTAAAGACAGATTTAAACAATAGGATAAATGTAAAATTAATGTTCTTCCATGTAAACTATCACATAATTCACAATAAAACATTTTTTTTTTTTAAAAAAGACAGAGTTAAGTACATAACTTATTATCTAGGAAATGTCTGCACATGAGAATGACAATGTTTTATTTCTATTTTATAATTCATCAGCTTCCTCCTTTATTAATTCTTAGAGTATATCATTTGACACTCTTGAGCTTTCCAGATTAAAAGAAAAATCATATTTATAAATAATAAGCTTTTCCTTCCTATCTATCTATCTATCTATCTATCTATCTATCTATCTATCTATCTATCATGCTCTTATCTTACAGTATTGACTAGACTCTCCTGAATAATAAGCAGTGCTGGCTAACAAAAAATTCTGGTGAAGTGCCATGTGCCAGCACCACGTTAAATGCTAGCGATAGAGTGGACTTCAGGATTTTTTTTTTTTTTTTAAAAAGAGCACAGATAACTAAATTCTATTGGACGTATTGTTTAAAGTTTTGCACCTGTTGCAGGTTTACAATGTTTACAATCTCACTTACCTTATCTACATCACATGCGAGTCGGAGCAGTACAGGGAACGTCCGCTTATAGAGCTGGTACATGGGTGGGGAGCCGTGGTCACCTTCAGGTATTTGAGTGGCCTTTCCCAACATAAACATCACCATGCTATGTAAAAGTTCACATGCTGCAACCTGGAAGAGGCCACACGAGTTCAACAGAGTTCAAGCTTTCATGCTTCCAGAGAAGAATATTTTAAAATGTTATTCAACTTAGCCCTTTAAAAAGCTTTTGAAAATGTTTTTAAGCAGATAACTATCATGGACCTCAAATATAAATAAAATAGCACTTCTTGTATAAAATTAATGTTACTCTTCATGTTTATCTTTACCAAAGAGTTAAGACCTGATATTTAAGTTTCAGACACTGGGAATAATTATGTTCATAGGAAATATGAATCACTCTGGAAGTTTATAAATTAACATAAAAAGTTGAGTTCATCTTGTTTCTAATTTATGAATTTGAGGGAATAATTGAGAAAAGACAAAGAATCACTTTGAAATATTCTTTGCCCTTTAAAATGCTATTTTCTATTATAGTAGGATTTTATCTTAAATCTATTAAGATTATTTACGCTTAACTTTCATTTGTCAATGACACATAACTCTGAAGTGAGTGAAGTAGTTTTTTTAATTGTTATGTTACATAAAATGCAAAATTAATGATCTAAGAATGGGATAAAATAAATTTTTTGTTTCCTAACAAGTATGTTTTTAAAACCTTAGGGCCTAAGTAGTGTGTGACAAATTAAATATAATTACTTTAGTCTGTCTGTCAGTAGCTAACAAAGCTAATTCTGTGACCCGAGGCAAGAAGACATCAAGATAAATGATAGGCTTCATTTCCAAAAATGGCACTGCAAAGCTGAGCCTCTTTTCTCTATCCCACGCTATACATCTCTTCATCATTTCATCTGAGGATGCAGCTGTTAAAAAGAAAAAAAAAAAGATTTAATATTTTTCTACTGAGAATCTATGACCAGCTGCTCTATATTTTACTAGTCAAACTAGAGTATATCAGTAAATTAAGTGCTTTATTAATGTTTCCTTTTTGTCTTTTTGACATGCAATTACATTAGAAATCACTAGTAGATGGTTTCTGAATTTAATTTAAAAGAAAATTATTTTAAGGAAGTCTAACAGTCCAAGATATTTAATTTCCCAGTTGAAGCACTTTGTGGAAAAAATTGATAAAAGAGCAGAATTTTATTAAATGTTTTCTCTTTAAAACATTTATTTTTCCAATGTACATTCTGTTGTTATTAAGTGCCATTGAGTCGATTCCTACTCATAGTGACCCTGTATAGTGTTTCCAAGGCTGTAAATCTCTGTGGGAGCAGAAACTCTCATCTTTTTTCCATAGAGCAGCTAGTGAGCTCACATCACCAACCTTGTGGTTCGCAGTCTAGTGCTTATCTTACAGAGCCACCTCACTCCTTATATAGGCTCTAAGTTCCTAAAGAACTAAAAATCACTAGTATATTTGAAATTAAATAGCAAAAGTACACATACAAATAAATGTCTACTAATCAAAAACACAAATACTCATAAAAAATTGTCTAAAAATAAATAAAAGCATTGTTTAAAAAGTGTATTAACTTTCAATTTCCGTGACATATTTTAAATACATAAAAGAGTCCCATTTCAAAATCAAAAGTGTGTGTAACAGAATTAAGTTGGAACACTTTCTCTACTAATGTAATAAATTATTCAGACTATATGGCTGCAGTCAAAGCATTTTCATTAGGCAAAATATTCTTTATAATTTTCACTGAAAATATGTATATAGGAGTTACTATCATGGTATGGTGCTGTAGAATAAGCACTAGACTACTAACTGCAAAGTCAGTGGTTTAAACCCATCAAATCTTCCTCAGAAACCCTATACAGAATCACTATGAGTTGGAACTGACTCAAAGGCACTTAACAACAACATCAGACATTAAAGTACAACAACATTAAAGTACATCTATTATTGCTGTTGTATATTGCTGTCGAGTCAATTTCTACGCATGGTAACTCCCATGTGTTGCAGAATAGAACTTCTCTACAAGGTTTTCAAGGCTGTGACATTTTGGAAGCAGATCACTAGGCCTGTCTTTGAAGGTGCCTCTGGGTGAGTTCAAACCACCAACCTTTCAGTTAGTAGTTAAGTATCCACAAAGGGACTCCCTCAACTGTATCTACAGGAGTAAATGCATTTAAAATAAAACTTTACCTGTTATAAGATTTCTGTTTATTTGTCCTCCTAGAGATCCAAGCATTTTCACTACTTTAATTCTGATTGCTTCTAAGGATAATGCTTCATTCTGCAAATGGGATCAATTGTATACATATAATGGGATTAAAATTAAAGAGAATTATGAGAGGAAAACAAGCCTACTTTGCCACCCATTCTACTGTGAAAATCTCCTGAGAGTTGATTACCTCCTACACAGTAGTGCTACTAAACTTATTACAATTAGATGTGCATTTCCTAGGATTCCAAACTTTTTTAACTCTTATTTATACTCTTAAAAAATATTGAAGAATCCCAAAAAGCTTCTGTTAACAAGGGTTGTATTTATCAATATTTATTGTACTAAAACTAAAAAATTTAAAAATTATTAAAATAGTTATTTTATTTAAAAATACCATGCCCACTTGTTATTGTTGTTAAGTGCCATCGAGTCATTTCCTACCCATAGCAACCCTGTATAGGGTTTCCAAGGACCAGCTAGTTTGAACCATCGACTTTGTGGTTCAAACCAACTTTGCAGTTCAACGCATTAACCCACAGCGCCACAACAGGACTCCATCATATGTTAACAAATGAGTTATTTCTAGAAAAATAGTGTTTTCCAAAACAAACAAAAGAATTCACAAGAGAAGCACTGTTGCATAGCTGTGCAAATCTCTGAGACTGAGGCTCACTAGAAGTCAGATACTATGATATGGTGTCCAGGCCTCAGCCATGTACAGAAAAGGGAACGATTTTTAGTGGTTTCTACACATAACTGTACTTATTCTACTTTGATATTATAAACAAGTGGTAATTTCTCAAAGGTAGTTTTCAATGTAGAACATGAGCCCATACCAATGAATTTTATTACATAAAAATTCACTGTTCTATCATGCACTTTGAATGGATTTATTTCACATGTATTATTTGGTAACCACATGTATTGTTGTTGTTGTTGTTATGTGCCGTGGAGTCAGTTCCGACTCATAGCGACCCTGCACAGGGTTTCCGAGGCTGTAAATCTTTACAGGAGCAGAACACCTCATCTTTCTCCCGCGGAGCAGCTGATAGTTTCAAACTGCTGACCTTGCAGTTCACAGCCCGATTCGTAACCACTACGCTACCAACCATATGCATTAGGCATCTGAAAATACTGGCTCTCTAAGTTATACAGATCTTCCAAATGCTGACAAAATTCATTATATATCCAAAAATCACATTTGTTAATATTACCACCAATCTAAATGAAAAACTCTTTAAGAATGAGAAGAAATTTTCCCTTAAAATCTTGAATTTTTATCATTGGCAACAAAAACTGCCAGATGTTTCCACTGAAATGAAAGTCTCGTTTTTTTTTTGTCCATCTTAGAGGAAATGACTGCCACATACCCAAATCAGAATAACCATAGTTTTCTGTCAGATGTTCTTTCAAGTAAAAATGCAAGGACACAGGTAGCTGCGTCCCCTTATCCATGGCTAGTGATAATGCAAAATGTCACAGCAATTGTGGACAACCAAGCAGTTGCTCAAATAACTAAACAAAGAACCACTATGGTGTTGTTTTGCTGTTGTTAAGTGCCATTGTGTCAGTTCCTACTCATAAAGTTTGCAACAAAAGGCTGGTGGGTTTGAACTGGCAACTACCACATCACTCAGCAATTTCACTTCTAAGTACATACACACAAAATCTGAAAACTGTTCAACAAAGATTTGTACTCCAATGTTCACTGCCACATCATTTGTGATAACGAAAAGGTGGAAACAACCTATATAACCACCAAATGGACAACAGATAAACTGTTGTACATGCAAGGGGTTTTCAAAAAGTTCTTGTAAACACCCACACTTGCAAATTATAGCCACTTATCCTGGCTTCAATGACAGGATGATCAGAGCTCAACCAGAAGTAAAAACAAGAGGGGGAAAAAAAAAAAGTATTCTCATACAATTTGATGAACTTGACCTACACCTATGGAAGCAGTAGCTCAAAAGAGGGAACAAGTCCTTACAGCAAGAATCATTCCCACACCCTCCACACACAGAGTAGACAGGGATGGGCAACTTGGACATTGGCTACCCAAAATGGGGAGCGGGGGGCTACAAAGGCAAGAAGTGACTGGCTTACAAGCTTTCAAGAGGGAACCTAGATCCAGAGGGCCTGGAGGAAGGTAGAATCTCCAATGAGTAGTATTCAATCTGTCTGGGCAGGGCTGACAAAAGGCGACGCCGATAGGTCTCTTGTGATACAATAGTGAATAATTGTTATCAGGACTGATTGTGAGGGTTGGAAATGTAAAGGTAGATGTTTTATAGCAAGGAGGGGAGTGATTAACTTTTCAGTCTAGGAGTGGAGGTCCCTAGGACCATCAAGGGAGAAGAGCAGAGAGCAGGACCCTACCCAGAGAAGCAGTGATGAATGAAATGGAGCCAGAGATGATGACGTGAAGCGATGGAGCAACTGGAGACTCTAGATCCAGAGAGAGAGAGTGACTGTGTGCTGAAGACCTGGGAGGTACTGGGGGAAGGATTGCAGGGTATACTCTTAGGTTGGTTGATGATGCATGGAGGGGATTGCAACCATGGCAATGAGACGATATATGATAGAATGAATGTAAAATTAATGTTCTCCCATGTAAACTATCACATAATTCATAATAAAACATTTAAGAAAAAAATAAGACCAGCAGAAAAACAAAACAAAACAATAAAAAAAAAAAAGAAAAAAGAAAGAAAGAAAAATAAAAGTTCATGTAAAAATGGAATTAAAAGATAATGGAATTTTTTCACAAACTTCTTAAAGCTCATTCATATAGTGGAATACTACTCAGCCAGTAGCAGAAATGAAGTTTTGATATATGTTCCAATATGGATGGATCTTGAAGACATAACGCTGAGTAAAATAAGCCATCACAAAAGGATAAATATTGTTAAGATCTCACTTATATAAAAAGACAAACAAAGGCAAATGCATAGAAACCAAAGTTTCTTAATGGTCAGCAAGGCAGAAGGATGAGGAAATTGAGGGGGTTACTGCTTGTGAAGTTCTACAGTTTGGTTTATGGTGACAAACAAATTGCATTAAGTGTACGATTGAACAGCCTACTGTCAATTGCTACCAATGAGTTGTATGCCTGTACAAAGTTGAATTGACAAATGTTATGTGAGAGACAGATTTATAACAACAAAAGAGTAGCTGTTTATGTACAACCAAATACTTCACAGGATTTGGTTCCTCAGTCTGGAGGTTTAGGATCATGATTTCATGGCACATACCAGTTAACTGGCATAATAACATAGTTTCAGAGTCTTAAGAGATTTTTAAGTGGCCATCTAAGGTGGTGGCTCCATAGGATAAACACTGGACTATGAACCACAAAGTCAGTGGTTTGAGCCCACCAGCTACTCTGCAGTAGAAAAATGAGGCTTTCTGCTCCTACAAAAGATTTAAAGTCTCAGAAACCCTAAACAGGATTGCCAGAAGTCAAAACCAACTCCACAACACTTAACAACAACAGCAAAGCACAAGTGGTCACTATTCACCTTTGACCAACAGATTAACGATAGTCACGAATAGAAAGGGAAAATGGAATAGGAGGCTAATTGTCTCCATGGACAAATGAACACCTCTTATACCATGAGACCAGAACTGGATGATGTCCAGCCACCATTACTGAACACACAGATTAAAGAGTCTATTATAAAAATCTTGATCAAAAGGAGAAAATGCAGAACAGAATTACATATTCTCCTGGAATCCAGACTTTCTGAAGTCATGGAGGCTGAGTGAACTGTGGTAACTATTGAGTAAAGACAATCTCTAAACTTAAAACCAAAAAGAACTTCTCATCAAAAGCCTCAACCAACAGAGTAGTAAAGAATGTCTGCCTTGAGCATTACGCTCTTTTAAAATCTATCTGTATGGAATTAAAATGACAACAGCAACTCAAACAATTAGACAGAAAATTTACAGGGGACAGAGTTTCTGCTAATGGTGAAGAAACAACTCAGAAAAGGAGAGTGAGATTTGTTGCAAAACTCGAAAAATAGAATTAATGTCACTGAATGGTCCATGTAGAAACTGCTGCATTGATGTTATGTTCTGCTTTACAACAAAAAAGACATTTCTTTTTTTTTTAAAGACGAAACTACCACAAAAGAAAACAAAAACAAAAAATTAGCTAGCAGGAATTGAATGTCACAAAGTGCTGGCCTTAAGATCAAATCAATATACTAATAATCTTTCATATGCATGATAGCAGTATCCCAACTTGCTTACTCAATATGAAGTTCATTACCTTTTATTGTCTACTAAATACATTTGGGAAGAGGAGTAAAGAAGAAAACAAAATCAAGGCAACAAAGTAATTATTAAAGTTTCTATATTTATAGCTAAAATTATATTAAAACTATTTCTATAATGTACTCTAATGTGCATGTAAGAACACATAACATTCTAATGAAGCTTTTCAACTTTTCATAAATGTTAAAATCTGATCTCTATATTAAGGTAAAAGAAATACAAGGAATTTCTTACTGATGTCATGTTCTTTGTCCTCTTCAGATGTTTTAATACAACTTTCTGAAACCCTTTCTGAGCAGCTTTGGAGAGTGCAGATACTTCCCAGGTATTCTTGGTTTCAACTAATTAACAACAAAAACTGATTTTAAATACCATTCATTTATTTAACAAACACAAGTGAAAACACACTGCATTTCTAAGTGAAAACAATCAATCTCAGTTTCTATTACAATTTAAATATTAAGTTGTCTGGGACAAAAATATTAATATTGGTCACCTTTCCTGTGACTACCAATTTCTACTAAAAAGAATATGGCTCCTTGGAGAAATGGCCAATTCATCAGTATGGCGGACATGCAATGAAAAGGAGAGCCTGTGTAGTGCTAAAGGATAAACACTAGACCCCAAAGTCAGTTTGAACCACAAGGTTGGTAGTTCAAACCTACGAGCCACTCCTTGGAAACCCAATACAGGGATGTTGTAAATCAGAACTGACTCAACAACACTTCACAACAACAAAGAATAAAGAGTACTGCAAAGGGGTGAGTGGGACAATTTGAGCATCAATATAAATTATGATGGTAAAAGACTAAACCTACTGAAAAAATAAGAATCCACAAGTCCATGCTAGTATATGAGGGTAAGTCAAAAAAGCATTGCTATTAAATCATAGAAAACTTTTATGAAACAAAAATATCAAAATATGAAGCTTTTGGTTTTTGACATAGCCTCCATCTTTGTCTTTATACTTCTGAAGGTAGTGTTCCCATTTTTCTAACCCATCCCCAAGAAATCCTATACTCTTCAGTTTACACATCAAAACGGCAGCTTGGGCATCTTTGACGGTTTAATTTGTGTTCCTTTGAAATGTTCTTGAATTTTGGAAACAAAACAAAGTCTAAAGAGGCCAAGATTAGGGCAGTAAGGTGGATGGGGAATACAGGTTTTCAATTTAACTCTCATAGGACAGCCCTTGTTACCCTCGAAGAATGAGCAGGTGCATTGTTGTGATGGAAAAAAATCACTAATACAACTTTTCTGACCCTTTTCTCTTACCAATGCAGCTTGCAATTTTCTCAAAACTTTGTAATGTGATTGACCTGTGTCTTTTGAGAAAATCTATCAAGAATACCCCTCTGGAACCCCAAAAAACAGTCATCATAACCTTCTGAGCTGACCTCTGTGTCTTCAATTCAGCTGGTTCATCAGATCCCCTCAGAAGTCATTGTTTTAACTACACCTTACTCTCTAGATTCTATAGGCAAATCCAACATTTGCCCAGTTATGATTTGTTCCATAAAACTTTCAGTATCCCTGGTTATGTTCCATAAAACTTTCAGTATCTTCAATCTTGCTTAAAATTAAAAGACTGATTGAAAAATCAGCTAGTTAAAAGAGCTGGGCACCCAAAGAACAAAAAATTTCTGAGGCCAAGATGTCCACTTAAAACTGAAGATGCCAAACGATGTGAGATTCTAATTTCAGTAGTTACCATAGCAATGCCTATTCTACAGTCTTCTCCCAGTAGGTTCTGGATTTCAGCCACAGTTTCTTCGTTCATCAAGAATGACAGTCTGTCCTGTCAGTTCATCTTTGAGGTCTCCTTGACCCATCTAAAAACTGCTGTTTTCTATGGGGTAGCTTTCTTGTAAATGTGTTACAAAGCTTCAGTGATGTGGGAAGATGTCTGCTTGAGTTTTGTCAAAAACTCTTGATACTATCCACTACTCAAAATCATTTTCTTTTTCATGGCATGTAAAATATCGGTTTTTGAAGGCATACAAACAAGACTGGTGGTAATGGTCGCGGTATGCCCTTGAATCAGTTTTGACTCATAGCGATCCTGTATAGGGTTTCCAAGGATATGAATCTTTATGGGAGTAGAAAGCCTCATCATTCTCCCACAGAGAAGCTGGTAGATTCTAATTGCTGACCTTGCAGTTAGCAGCCCAACTTGTAACCCACTATGCTACAAGGGCTCCTACATACAAGACTAAACCTAGAGTATTGCTGACAGAACTTGTTTGCAGCCACCTACCAATGTTTTGTTTGAAACAAACACATTGCATGTATGAAGTAAATCCCCAGAGGCAATATTTTTTTAAATTTAACTTCATATATTCTCGTAACAACATAAAAATTTCTTTTTAATATAAATAGTTTTTAGACCTCCTGTTGTGCCCAGGATATTGAGATGAATTAGAGAAATTACAAAAATACTAGGTCAAACAAATTTTCTTATGTAAGGTTGAGATTCCATTAAGTTGCAATATGGTGGTGGTGGTGCTGGCTACGTGCCGTGGAGTCAGAACCGACTCATAGCAAACCTGTACAGGGTTTCCAAGGCTGTAAATCTTTACGGGAGCAGAAAGCCTCATGTTTCTCCCGCGGAGTAGTTTCGAACTGCTGACCTTGCAGTTTGCAGCCCGATTCGTAACCACTACGCTACCAGAGTTCCTAAAGTTGCAATAAACACCATTTGAAAGGCAATTACTCACCTGTTTTTGGGCTTTTATTGAGACTGCCTCAACTAGGACAGGTCATAAAATCATCACGAGACTTGAAATACCCACACTGTCTTGGCTGATGTCAAGAAACAAATGAATAAGGAAGGCAGTGCCCAAAATGGTTCCATAATAAAATGGAAATGATTCATACAGGACCAAACTACAGGGGAGTGAAGGGAGGCACCTACCATATCAACAAGCAGGCAGCCTCTTTTCTCATAGGCTTTACGCCAGAGCCACCTGAAAATCTGCCAGAGCCCATTGCCATGAGGATAATGCCTACAAGCAACTTTCCACTGACCAGGAAAAGGCTGCTTAGTTCACAGATGATAGTTCCAGAATACATGGACAACACTTGATGCGGAAAGCTGCAGTATTAAGACTAACAGATGGAAAGACCCTGATTGAAGTAGTTAAGAACAGGTCAGCTCAATGGGCCAAACTGCATGTGGTCTTCCTAGCTGTGATGGAAGAATTGGACAATGGTGAGAGCTCATGGTTTAGATTTTTACTGATTCATAGGAAATGAATCAGACAAATGGGCAACGGGAAACTAGACTATTAAAGGGAATCTGTGTGGGGCAAGGAGCTATGGAAAGTACTCTGGAAATTTAAAGGGCACAATAGACTAGGACATGTTGATGCCTATCAGGAAAATGCTCTTCCTTGAGCAGAAGGTGATTGGAATCTGCAAGCGGACATGTTGGTATGCTCCCTTGAGGTGGCCAATTGAGTCCATGAAATGAGTGGACATAGGGGTGTTACAGCAATGCAAAGATGGGCTAAAGCTAGGCACGGCCCTCTTGTACCCTCTTAGATACAAAATATCAGTAAGGACTGCTCTGTTTGCCAGCAAGAAAGATAGAGAATACAGATGACTATAGGGCAGATTCTCTAAGAGGAAGGACTTACTCAGAGCTGGCAAGTAGATTACATAGGACCAATGGTACTAGGGGTACCAGGTGGCTATAAATGGGTCCTCACAGAAATAGATACTTACTCTGGATTGGGCTTTGTATATTCTATAATGGATGCAGATGCCAAAAATATCAGTAAGGGATTAGAATAAAAGATACTGTACTAATTTGGGCAACCAAGTTACATTTCCTCAGACCAAGGAACACACTTTACAGCCCACAGGTGCAACAATGGGTCAAGAAACATCATATTAAATGGACATACCATTTTGCACACCACCCTTAGAGTAACAGTTTGACAGAGAATTGGAATGGGCAATTAAAATTTGTTATCTAAAGCGGGGAGAGATATAGGCCTGAAGAGCTAGTTCTCGTGCCTTCATTAGTCTGTGCTAACACTCAACTTGAGGGTTCAAAAGGGAAGATCACAACTGGATCGAGTTCTCCATTTCTCAGGGGGACTTGGGAGAGAAGGGGTGGGGGCGAATGCTGGTGCTTCTGTAGAGTTCTTCCCCACATCACCTGAAACTGCTTTTTTTCCTTCCAATGATGCAGTCTCAGGAATACAGCTATGAAAACCAGAATCAGGAGTGATCCTACAGCAAGAGACTGTAATTATACCCCTAAACCTATATGCCAGAATTCCCAAAGACCTAATAGGATGGACTGCACCTTCCCCACATCTGTCAAAATTTGGATTTATGGTGAATACAACCATGTTGCCTAGTGTTAGAGATATTCCACTAGTCTTGTATTTATGTAACATCCTGCTGTGGTGATGTGGGTTAATGCGCCAGACTACAAAGCTGTTTGAACTGCAAGGTCAGTGGTTCAACTTCACCCACTGCTCCTCAGAAATGCTATACAGGGTCGCTATGGGTCGGAGCTGAATCAACAGCACTTAACAACAACAACCCAACATGAATGAGAGTGAACTAGGGGGGAATCACTTGCTAGACTGCTCTTGCTACCAGCAATCTGGACTGGCACAGCAGCTGAATTGATGTCTCTTCCTAATGTGGAGAAGTTTGGGTAAAAGTAAATGATAAATAGAAAGAAGGAGAAATAATAGCTGAAGGTAAAGGCATGAATAAATGGATTAATTGTTGTTGTTACGGGCCGTTGAGTCAGTTCCAACTCAATGACCCTATAGAGCAACCCTGTATAGGTGTTCCCAGGAGTGGCTGGTGAGTTTGAGCCACTGATCTTGCAGTTCAAACTGACGTTGAGGCCGGGTGCTTATCTGATGATTCAGAAGGGAAAACCTTACATTATGATGACACCTCAAGAGAGCCTCAGAGCAAGGAAATAATCTTCTCTCAATACAATTTTTCAGGAGCAAGAAAGATGAAAACGAGACAATCTTTTGGAGAACCCGACCATGTCAGATAGACACAAACAGCAGACATGAATGACTGACACCTGAGTAACCTCACCCTTCTATCGCCTTACCATAGTGAAGTACTATGTACTTTAACTACGTACATTAACATAGCTGTTAATGACTGGTTTGTACTGCTATATCATTGGGTGGGAGAACTAAATCCCTCAAGTATGAAAGAGCAAATTTCTACAAGGGCTAAGGGATGACCCACAGGGCAGCTAAATATTTATTATGGCTCTTCTAGCCAAATTTCTCCATTCGGATACATTTTTTAAATCCTAGTCTCAAGGTCTACAACTATGGACCCATTTTGAAAAGAGTTGCTAAGAAGATTAACGTAGGGTTATATAAAGAAAAACGTGGCATCAGGATTGAAGGATGACTCATTAACAACCTGCAATATGCAGATGATACAACCTTGCTTGCTGAAAGTGAAGAGGACTTAAAACATTTACTAATGAAGATCAAAGAGCACAGACTTCGGCATGGATTACATCTCAATGTAAAGAATACAAAAATCCTCACCACTGGACTAACAACATTCTTATCACCAGAAAAAAGACTGAGGTTGTCAAGAACTTCATTCTTCTTGGATCAACTATCCACACTCAAGGAAGCGGCAGTCAAGAAATCAAACAAAGTATTGCATTAGGCAAATCTGCTGCATAAGACCTTTTTAAAGTGTTTAAGAGCAAAGATGTCAGCTTGAGGACTAAGGTGCGCCCGACCCAAGACATAGTATTTTCAATAACCTCACATGCATATGAAAGCTGGACAGTGAATAAGGAAGATCGTAGAAGAATTGATGCCTTTGAGTTATGGTGCTGGAGGAGAATATTGAAAGAACTAATAGATTCATTTTGGAAGAAGTGCAGCCAGAGTGCTCCTTAGAGGCCAAGATGGCCAAACTTCATCTCTCATACTTTGGACATATTGTTAGGAGGGAGCAGTCGCTGGAGAAGGATATCATGTCTGGTAAGGTGGAGGGTCAGAGAAAAAGAGGAACACCCCCAGCGAGATGGATTAGCCAAGTGGCAGCATCGAAGGACTCAAGCGTGGCAACAACAGTGAGGTTGGCCCAGGATCAGGCAGTGTTTAGTTCTGCTGTGCATAAGGTTGCTACGAGTCGGTCCTGACTCGATGGCACGTAACAACAACAACAACAAAAGGAGCATAGTGTGGCACTGTGGGTTAATGCGCCAGACTGCAAAGCTGTCTGAACTGCAAGGTTGGTGGTTCAAGCTCACCAGCTGTTCCTTGGAAACCCTATACAGGGTCATTAGGGTCAGAACTGACTCGATAGCATACAACAACAAAACAAAGTGGCATAGTCGTTACAAGTTGGGCTGCTAACCTCAAGATCAGCAGTTCAAAATTACCATTGGTTCCATGGGAGAAAGATGAGGTTTCTGCTCCCATAAAGATCTACAGCCTCGGAAGTCCTATATGGGGTCACTATGAGTTGGAACCAACTCCACGGCACAGAACAACCACTACAGTAGAACTAAGGATTAAGAATGCCCCCACACCTTAGGAGAGATGGTATGACTTAAGTCACCACCCTTAGTTTCCATTGGGGCATGGTTAGACTCCAATTTATAATACTGCTTAGAAAAGCTTGCTCTCTTGACCTGGATGTTGCCACCTGGCTCATGATGTCTGACCTCTAGTTAGTAGGACTAGGACTTTAGACCCATTTCCTGACCTGATTCACCAGCTCCCCATAGCCTCGTGCTTCAACAGCCTGTCATCTGACCTGATGATTTGGGTTTGCCAACTCCTGAGACTACATAGGTAAGAAGATTACTCCAGACTGGCCTCTGAACTATGGATTTGGGACTTGCCAGCCTTCACAATTTTTTGAGCTATTTATTTTGACAATTGTGATTTTTGTGACATTGCAGAGTTACAGAATCCTGGGACTTGAGGGGAGAGAGGAGTGGTGATTGATATTAAGGACTACGGAGGGATATAACATGTCACAAAAGTCAAACAATTGAGGTATCTTTAACCTCCAACTCATAGGTACCAGCCTTGTGTTGATTTTTAAAACAGAAATTATTCATGCAGTTACAAACTACAAACAATTCTATTATGGTAATCATTTGCTATTTTAATTAAGATCCACACATCATAATTCTTAAAACCCTTACCTGATAAGGTTGAAGTTTTCAAATAACCACCAAGACAGGGCAGAATGTCTTTGTAATACGGCTGAATTACATATTTGCGAATGTTAACTGACCATTCTTGTAGAGCATTCAAGCCTACTTCTGCTAATGGCATATAGCTCAATCCCAGTTTAAAAGCCATCTGTCCATGAAAACAAACAAGGTAAAATGAAACTCAGGAATTTGGCATTTAAAGAAAAACAAAAGTAATTAAATTATTATGTCTTCCTACTACTGGGATAAGGAGTTCTAGTAGCGTACTGGTTATGAATTGGGCTGCAAACCACAAGGTCAGCAGTTCGAAACTACCAGCTGTTCCGTGGGAGAAAGATGAGGCTTTCTGCTTCCGTAAAGATTTACAGTCTCGGAAACCATGTACAGGATCGCTATGAGTCGGAACCGACTCCCAGGCACATAACCACCACCACCTCAACTGGGATACCAGATACTGCTGGAGGAAAGAGGGTGCACTATGGTAATTTCTACCGTAGCAACAACTATCTGTCTACTGGCGGAGGCTATAGTGCACATTCAAAACATGGAAAGTTGGAAGCTCAGAAAAGTGAAGTCAAGTGTCTCAAACCCCAAAGCTAATCAGCATCAGCAGAAGCACCTGACGCACATGTGCCTGATGACAAAGCACCTACAGAATTACGATATTCTGTGTTTCCAATGAAACATGCACGGCATGAAGAAATGGCTCTGCTTAAGATGGTACACCTACCTGCAAAGCAGGGACATAGGATCTTATATCAAGCTCAATGATGTTGTACGGCAGAGAAAGAATGAAAGTCAAACAGGAGACCAAGAGTTCATCTTTGTATTGCTTCATTTTAACAGATACCTTCCAAGAAATGAGAAAAAGACAATGTTGTGTGTCTGAAGAGAGCAAACAAGTTGAAAATCAATTTTAAACTATCGACCAGCTCTGGTAGCGTAGCGGTTATGAATCGGGCTGCAAACTGGAAGGTTAGCAGTTCGAAACTACCAGCTGTTCCGCGGGAGAAACATGAAGCTTTCTGCGCCCGTAAGATTTATAGCCTCGGAAACCCTGTACAGGGTCGCTATGGGTTGGAACTGACTCCACAGCACTTAACCAACCAACCAACCTTCTTTCCAAAGATGAAAAAGCATCATATCAAGGCCACAATCACCTACATATGAAGTTGTGAGGTCCATGAAATATGTACTTGTTGAAGTACTTAAGGCCATATAATAAAAATTTTTTTTAAAAGATCTATTTAATTTTGAGTAGTTATTACACAATTGTTGTTGTTAAGTTCCGTCAAACTGGTTCCGACTCATAGTGACCTGTACAGGGTTTCCGAGGAATGGCTAATGAGTTTGAACCACAAAGTGCCACGCCAGGACTCCACTACACAATTAAGCTATTTTTAAAAAACTCAAAAGGACTTTTGAAGCACAATGACTTAGTATTTGTTTGTTTTTTAAAGGACCTTATTCACAACCTGAATTTAATATACTAATTTTTAAGTAATGAGACCATTTATGGCCTCTAAGATTTTTTTTTCAAAATACATTCATTTTAAAACAGCCCACAATAACACCAAGATAAATTATTTTAAATTACCTCTTTACCAAATTTTGCAAATAAAGCAAAACAAGAATACTTTTCTGCATCTTGAGATAAGAGTTTCAGACTCTTTGGACCAACGCCCTGTGAGGTTAAAAAAAAAAACTTAATTAGCAAACTAAGCAACAATTAGGTAACTACACCCCAACACAACGGTCCAAACTCTCTTTGGATAATCATTTTTACATTACCAGAGTCTCACTCAGAGGGAAAGGGAAGGTGAACTCAGGACAACTCCATTCAGAAACAGAGCATGAAGTGGAAAGTGGACAGTCACAGGAGGGGGTGAGTCTGCTCCCTTCCGCATCTCCTAATAAGAAGCATCTGTGCACTCAGTGTTCACCCAAAAAGTAGTCAGACTCACAGACAACTGAAGTTGCCTCTGGGGCACTTGTTGTGACACAGTATGTTCAGCCTACCCCAAAATTTCTGACTAGGTGACTACGGAGCTGGTCTGATAAATTGCACTTTAAATGTGTTCCCGATGAATGTTGCTGCTGCTGGTCCAGGGATCACACTTTGAAAACCCCACTCATCTAACACAATCAGCCAGAGGCTTGGAAAATCTGGACAGAACACCCTATTAGGTAACGTTTTAAAGTGGTGATCCAATTGCTGTTCATATGTCAATTTTCTTTTCCTTCTTTTTAAAAGTTTTTATTGTGAATTGAGTGATAGTTTACATGGCAGAACATCAGCTTTACACTAATCCTATTGTATTTTGTTTCACTGCAATGATTACAATCTCCTCCATGCATCATCATTCAACAGTATTTGCTTCCATTCCCCCATTCCCTCTGGGTTTTTTTTTTTTGGGGGGGGGTGGTATACACCAAAACTCAGGAATATGCAATCATTCATTCAAACACCCAAAGCGCATACCCTGCAAGCCTGTTCCCTGGCCACCAGCACACAGCCCCTCTCTCTCCATGAGTCTAGCGTCCCCAACCGCTCCAAGACATCATCTCTGCCTCCATCTCTGGCGTCGCTGCTTCTCTGAATAGGGTCCCACACTCTGCGCCAGCTCTTCTCACTTTATAGTCTCAGGGTCCTCTACTCCTATACTGCAAGATCAACCACTCCCCTCTTTTTGCTACAAAACTTCTACCTTTACAGTTGCAACAATCAAAATCAGTCATGATAAAAATTACTCACTATTAAACCACAAGAGTCTTATCCCCATCTCCTTTCACCAGCCCTGTCTAGGCAGGTTGGAAACCACTCAGTGGAGACTCTACCTCCCACCCATCCCCCACACCCTCTGAAATTAAACTCCCTCTGAAAACTTGTAAGCCAGTCACTTTGAACCTTTATAGCACCCCCATTTTAAGTAGCCAATATCTAAGTTGCCTATCCCTATCAACCCTGTGTACAGAGGGGACGGGAATGATCCTTGCTGTGACGATTCCTTCCCTCTTGGTTGGTATTTTAAGCTACTATATCCATAAGTATAGGTCAAGTTCATCAAATTGTAGTGAATTAAAACTTGTTTTCTTTATTACCGCCCCCCAAAAAAAATTTTGTTTGTTTCTTTCTCTCTTCTTCTAGTCGAGTTCTGATCATCCAGCCATTGAAACTAGGTCAAATGGGCACTGTCTGCAAGTACAGGTGTTCTTATGCATCTCCCCTCACTTCATATCAGCTGGACGCTTCACTCTCAGCTCTAGCCCTCTGTGGCTATGTCCTTGTCCATGGGCTCAGGAGTCCCCAGGTCTTACCATACTGCTGGCCAACCAGGTCTCACCATACTCCAAGTTAACAGGAGTCTATTGAATGTTGTCAGACTCAGCCCATATTGTCAGTACTGCTTTTCCCCAACTTCCCCTCATCAGTAGACCAATGTGGTCCCCGACAAGATTACATGCCTACTCTTGTATTCCCTTTGAGTTTCAGTCTTGAAAGGGGGTTTGCCCTGAAGGGACTTGATTGCTTGCCTTGATGGCTCCCCTGCAGACAACTTGCTTGTTTTTGTGGTAGTCATTCAGATGGCCAGTTTTTGTTTTTTATTTTTCCTGCTGGTCTTTCTTTCAAGAAGTATCTTCTGTTCTCTAGCTGCTCCAGGCTGGTTTGCTTGTCTTTTCAAGTGGAAATTTCCTACCTCAGAAGATTTTGGATGTGGATCAGGATTCCACCTAAGGTCTTACACACTACAAAGGCTCCGCAGGAAGCCTTTTTCACTAGGAAAGTTCTAGCACCCCTTTTAGGAATTCCAATCACAGTTATAGGCTGAAGCATATGTCAATTTTTAAAATTTCATTTTCTAGAATTAGATTTAAAAATGGCAACACGCTACCCATAGTCATCTCCTGCAAGATGCTATGATCATGTATTTTATAATGCATTTATATATGTACAAGCAAATTAAAAAAAGGGAGAGAGATATCCAATGTCTTCCAAAAAATACTTACCTCAAAATACCTAATTTTCTTGGCATTTCTCACTACAACAGAAAGCAATTTGTAGAAGCCACTGATGAGTGGCAACTGTGTAGAATGCAAAATTAACTCATATGAAAATGAATATAACCATGGCTCAAAAAACTCCACATGTTTCTCAGGAAGAATCTCTCTGTAAAAACAAATTAAATGCTTTACTGTAGAAATCTTAACCATGTGAATACTTTCATTCAGCTTTGAAATTATAAGGGACATGGTTGAAGCAAGTTGACTATAACATTTTTCAGATACAGCTATATGCCTTTTTATTTCTACCCGATCATCTTTTAAATATATATCTTAAAAATGATAACTCTAAGTTGGTACTTTCAGATACATTTTAAAGGTCCATATAAATGATTCCAAATTTCAAGTCTTTAACAACATCATTTCTTTTACCTATATAAATATTATAGCCAATAATTGACCATTTCCTTCATACTTATTTGGAATTTAAGAAAAAAAAAATACCTGCAAAACTCCACCAGGTTAATGAAAGCTGAAAAATCTTGAGGCTTAGAAGCACACAAATTTGCAGCTGGATCTGAGGTTGCGATCACCCACACACCAGTACCTACATTCTCATCCTTAAAAAAACAACAGTACCCAAATAAACATTGTATCAGTAAGTCAGGATTTTGTTTCACCAACTGACTCAATGGTCAAACCCAATACTATTACGTAAAAGGAATGCTAATGAAAGACAGACATAGGGGCTCTCAGATTAGTCTGATGATGAGACTGGTGGGAAACATTAAATAAAAGGACACAGTGATACAGTGATGAGACAAAAGAATGATACAAACACAGAAATTCAAAGGGCTGAGGAGAAGGTGACCATTTCTTGAAGGAACTAGCAATTATGCCTTCAAAGAAGTAAAACTTTCAAAAAGTAGAAAATATCAATACTAACTTGGAGATTTCAAACTGCAAATAAGAGAAACATGTGACATCAATAGGAAAGACAAATGAGAAATATAGATTTCTTGCAAAATAGGCCAAGTTCAGTTTTAATAAACACTTTGTTATCAAATGCAGGTGGAAATATGGAACTGGGAGACTTACTGATAAGATTAGAGACAGATTAACCTGAGCACCAACAAAGGTCAGAGTTGGCCTGTTGGAATGAAGCAAGAAGGACAGGGAAAGAAGAAACAGCGAAGCCACTGAAGTCGACAAAAACAGTACAGACATGTTCAGAAACTTAGGTGTGTTGGTGATACAGCTCCAATAAAGCTCCTTTTGGAACTTTTTGTTTTGGTTTTCTTTTCCATAAAATATTTTAGACATAAAAAAAGTATCAAAATACACTTGATGGTTAGCATCACTAACATTTTAAATAGAACATAACAAATACAATGGCAGATAAAAAATACATTTTACCTCTTTCCTTAATACGTCCTAGGCTATGGCCTCCCATCATCTCTTGTTCAAGTTCACTGCACTGCAGAATTATCCACAAACTCTAACAGCATATCTAGTCTGAAAATACTACGGGGCTGGGGAGTAGACAAGTTGTTTCCAACTGAAACTCAATTCCTTTAACAATACCTTAGAACCAGATTAGTCATGGTTTGGTACTGTAAGATAAGCACTAGAATGCTAACTGCAAGGCTGGTGGTTCAAATCTACCAGCCACTCCTCAGAAACCCGATACAGTGCTGCTACAAGTCAGAACCAACTCTCAATGGCACTTAACAACAACAACAACGGAACCACAGTGCTTTGTTACTAAAATCCTTCACACAAAAGTAGAGTAGTACTAGCGGAAGCCTTAAGTCATCACTTTGCTTACAGGACATCTAGGCACAGAACAAAAAGGCATGGCACTTTCTTCTTTCTCTGCCTGCCATTTTTTATTTGACACCTAACACTTAGCACCCCAGAGCACTGAACTTCCATAACTATGAACAAGAGGAGCACTAGGCCTCCATATTCTACTGAACATCACCTCAACACAAAGTAAGATTTATCTCTCTTTACTATTGCTAGGGAAGGAGAAACAAAGTTTTGTGAAAAGAAATCATTTTAACATATTTAACTTGTAATTATTTTTAATAATCTAATAATATTTCCTACAATTAGGCTATAGCAATAGAAAAGTATCAATGATACATATTAATCTTGGACAAAAACAAATTTCTTTGATCTCCTATGTTAATGTGCTACTTACCCCAATTAGTTATATATAAAGAAAAGTATATAAAAATGATACAAAATTGTTATTGACAAAAGTTTCTAACCTCTTGTTCTCCAGTATTCTGTTTTTCTAGTGTAAGATCCAATTTATCAATTATCTTCAAAATCGATTTTATAAACTCATCATATAGCAAACGATTCAAACTTTGAAGGGTGGAATTCACCGACAGAAATGCTTCATCTGCTAAGAGAAAATCCTTTAAATAAAGAAAAATAATAAACTTCAAAATTTTGGTAGAAAAGTGTTAGTATGAGTATTAAATAAGCATTAAAATATATAGAGATATACATATATATTTACATTATTATAGAAACAGTGCTGTGTAGGCTGTAGAAAATTTTACCTGGAAGTTTTCAAGTTGCAAAATTTAGACATCTTCCTAAACTGTTATGGCAGCATCTTTTGGTCAGATTAAACAATTTATCCAGTCACATAACCTTACTTGAAACATGACAGAGAATGAGAAGACTTAGGGAAAACCTTGTAAAATAATTTACACTAACTATTATATGTGTGTTTGTGTGTCTATACACAAGGTCAGCAGTTTGAAACTACCAGCTGTTCCATGGAAGAAAGATGAGGCTTTCTGCTCCCGTAAAGATTTACAGCCTTGGAAACCCTGTTTAGGGTCACTATGAGTTGGAACCGACTCCACAGCACATAACAACAACAACATACACATATATGGAGTCCTGGTGTGGCACTGTGGGTTAATGCGCCAGACAGACTGCAAAGCTGTTTGAACTACAAGGTTGGTGGTCCAAACTCACCAGCTGCTCCTTGGAAACCCTACACAGGGTCTTTATGGGTCAGAATCGATTCCAAGGCACTTAACAACAACAACAAATACACGTATATGGAGTTCTGATATAGTGCTGTAGGATAAGCACTCGACCATAAAGTGTGTTTGAACTTCAAGGTTGGCAGTTCAAACTCACCAGCCACTCCTCAAAACCCCATTCAGGGTTGCTATGAGTTGGAACCAACTCAACAGCACTTAACAACAACACACACACTCACACATATATTAAAAAGTACAATGTATTTACATGTAGGAGCCCGGGTGGCAGAGTGGGTTAAGTGGAGGGCTGACAAGCAAAAGGTCAGCAGTTCAAATCTATCAGCGCTTCCATGAAGATTTACCACCTTAGACACCCTATGGCGTATATATATGTGTGTATATATATATTAACCACACACACACACACATACATGCAAATACCTAAGCCAAACCCTACTGTTGTCGGGTCGATTCCAATTCATAGTGATTCTCTAGGACAGGAGAACTGCTCCATAGGGTGTCTAAGGTGGTAAATCTTCATGGAAGCGCTGATAGATTTGAACTGCTGACCTTTTGCTTGTCAGCCCTCCACTTAACCCACTCTGCCACCTGGGCTCCTATATATATAAGGAGCTCTGGTAGCATAGTGGTTACAAATCGGGCTGTGAACTTTAAGGTCAGTGGTTCAAAACTACCAGCCGCTCCGCTGGAGAAAGATGAAGCTTTCTACTCCCGTAAAGATTTACACCCTCAGAAACCCTGTACAGGGTTGCTATGGGTCGGAACCGACTCTACAGCACTTAACAACAACAACTATATATATATATATATACACCTTTCTATTTACCCTCCTATATGGAAGCATACAGGAGGGTAAATAGAGGGCATTACTATTGGGTTTCAGTTCATATATGCATGGGTTTATTCAGAACAAAACATGTTTAAACATGTCTTTGCAATCAGTGGATGGCTGCAGACAAGTTCTCTCAATAATACACTTGTCTTCATTTCGCTTCTTGTTGTTGTTAAGCGCTGTCTAGTCGATTCCTACCCATAGTAACCCTGTATAGGGTTTCCTAGGAGCCACTGGTGAGCTTGAACCACCGACCTTTCAGTTCAAACGACTTTGCAGTCTGATGCATTAGCCCACAGAGCTACTAGGGTGCCTTTAATAAAAAATATGGAAGCAAAACAGTGGTTTCTCGAGGGAATTTCCTAGGTCAGTTAAATGAAAGGCACAGAGGTCAGCTCAGGTTATGGTGACTGGTTTTTTTTCTTCATTTCCAAAGGGGTAATCTTGATAAATGTTCTCAAAGGACAGGTATTTAAGAAAATGGAAAACTGCATTGGGGAAGAAAAGGTCACGAAAGTTGTACCAACTGATTTTTTTTCCTGTCATAACAAAGCCCCTGCTTATGCTTCAAGAGTTGCAAGGGCTGTCCTATGAGAATTCAGATGGGAAACTTTATCCCATTCACCCTACAGCACTGATCTTTCCCTTTACATTGCTTTTTGTTCTAAAAACTCAAATAGCATTTCAAAGGAAGATGATTTTAGTCTCGTAAGGATACCAAACTGCCATTTTGACGTAGCATAAATCAACGAGCACAGAATTGCTCAGGGATGGAAGGGTTAGACAGATGAAAACATCACCTTCAGAAACACAGATCTATGTGGAAGTTATGTTGAGAAACTTTGATATTTTTAATACAGGTTTCTATGATTTTGTAGCAATCCTTTTTTACTTACCCTCATTTACACACATGCATACACACACACACATATACACACAGACATATGTACATGTGAATAAATAAATAAACTTCCTCAGGATGAATTTAAAAATCTAATTTACCATTTCTTTAAAAGTGAAAGGAGTCTTGGTGGCACAGTGGTTAAGCGCTTCATGGAAGAGGTGCAGCTTGAATTCCCAGCCATTCCATTGGAGAAAGATGTGGCAGTCTGTTTACATAGGAATTACAGCCTTGGAAAAGCTACGGAGCAACTCGATTCTGCCCTACAGGGCTGCTATGAGCCAGAATCAAGTTAATGGCAACAGGCTTGGTTGATTTTGCTTTAAAAGTGAAGCTATTTTACCAATAATAAAATTTCCTTTACAAATTCACATTAGAAGGTCCTCAATAGAATGGGAAAAAATGTGCAACAAAATTCAAAATCATAAAAAAGAGACCAGGCTTACTGGCTTGTTAGAGACTTGTGGAACCCCAAGACTATAGCCCATGGCCATCCTTCAGATCTGGAACTCAATTCCCCTTCAGTGGTTCAGTTCTCAGCCGAGAAATAGACAGGTATATAAGGGGCACTGCAACACTACTGAGGTATGTATCCCACTTAAGATCAAAAGGGCAGTGTTTCCCCAAGGACAAGATTCAGAAGGGTTGGGAAACATGGAGGAAAAAAGTATCACAGGAAGGAAGTGGGATAAGTGATATTACATTGAATGGATTGCAATCATTGAGCTGAAATGAACTGTATGATTTGCTCAATGTGAAACTAATGATCTACTATGTAAACCTTCATTCAATTCACAATCAAAAGTTTAAAATGAAAAAAGAGTGCCTTTACTCAGTCAGTTTATGGAACTTAGTCTCAACAGAGGAATTTCTGACATCACATAAGAAATATTTTAGGTAAAATTACTAATGACTGCTATCCTACTTTATACACTCAATAAGAAAATAACTAAAAAAGATTGAGATTTTCAGAGGACCAGAATCACCTATCGATAAAAACTGCTTTTAGAAGGCTATTACTGCTTCATCAAAGCTTCATCAAAATGCTAAACAGCTGGCTTAAAGTAGACACTAAGGAAACATCTGCTAGAGCAGGAGATATTATTTTAATTGTAAGTAATTAATTACCAATTACTTCACAGCTATTAAATCCACCAGATTAAGCTTCACCTTTAATAAACAAAAAGAAAATAGCTCGACTGTAGTAGTGATAAGGAGCTCTGGTAAGGTAGTGGTTATGAGTTGGACTGCTAACCTCAAGGTCAGCAGTTCAAACTTACCAGCTGTTCCGTGGGATAAAGATGTGAGGCTTTCTGCTCCTGTAAAGATTTACAGCCTTGGAAATTCTATACAGGGTCACTATGCGTCAAAACCAACTCCATGGTAAATATCCACTACCACGATTGTAATACTGTTCTATTTGTTGTTACATTGTAGGCTGGATCTGTCAGAATTTAGATTTAGAACCAGCTACACGAAAGGGGGCTTCAAAAGTTCATGAAAAATCCAAAACAAAAAAAGTTAATGGAAAATCCTAATATCTTTCAATTTCATTTTTCCATATAACTTTTAAACCCCCCTTGTACTACACCACTATGTAAAACTCAAAACCAGTTCTGGTTTTCTGGTTCCTTTTAGTTGGTTTATTTCTAGTCTCACTTTACTATCCTGCCTTAAACTGTTTTAATGTTTTATTACTTGAAGTACTTTTTTTAAAACTTAGAAAGTTAATAAAATATAACTGAATAAATAACTCTTAAGTCTAAAATGATGGCATCCTGGTGTGGTGCTGTGGATTAATGTGCTGGACTGCAAAATCGGTTTGAACTGCAAGGTCAGTGATCCAAGCTCACCAGCCATTCCTCAGAAACCTTATACAGGGTTGCTATGGGTCGGAACCAACTCAACAGCACTTAACAACAAGTCTAAAATTACAGACACCAACATAGAGGAATTAGGGTGTTTTAATAGGTTTAAAAATGTAATTGTTACCATCATCTGGTCACAGCTCATGAGGTTCCTAAAAAGTTCCAAATAGTCTTTGGTAATAGGCACTTCCCACTTTCCGGTTCGCACTTCCCCGGAGCCATCAAGATCTTCAGACTCGGCCTCGGCATCCTGCCAGGAAGACGCACACAGAAGTCACTGAATTAAGCCTGCTTCCAGCAGTAGATATGTAATTAGATTGAGGAAGGCAGTATATTATGAAAGCACAGTAACAAGAAACCTGAAGACAAATCACAAGTCTGTTCTCTGACTGATAGTACACACTAGGAGGGACTGCAACACACATTCACTGAGCGCATTTTAAGTCACTGATCTCTGAATCTTATTATACAGCTCAGTCTCCCACTCATCCTATGTAATTCATTTTAGTATTTAGTACTAGAATTTCCTAAAAGAAAATATTTCCGTTTCAAAAACTGTGTATGTAACAGCAATGTCATGTCTAAGGATATTTCATAATTTAGAAGAAGTAGACTCACCCGACAAAATAAAGATTTACTAAGGACAACACTTTTCAACAAGTAAGCCATGGCTAATAAATAACAAGAGGCACTTTTGGTATTTATGTACTAAAAAACTCAGCAACATTTCTAACTTTCTGTTGCAAAGGATGCATTCTGAAAATATTAGATTCGGAATTTACCTTTTGAAGGGCCACTGGTTTAGAACATATTCTGATTAAACCTTGATGCACTGAAAAAAGAAAACAGACACAAAAATGAAAGACATACCAAAAATCACAAACAAAATACTCAACAGAAATGAGAGCTAGTACTTTCTAGAACTTACCTCTACCTTCCATGTCTTTTCTCTACCTTAGACAAGTTAATTTTTTTTTTTATTTGAACTAATGTTAAGATTCAGAAGCAAAAGGGAGAAAATTAAAAAGAAAAAAAAAAAAAAAAAAGATTTGGTCCATCAAAGCATTAGGGGTTTCCCATGAGGTATTAAAACATATTAAAAAATTTAGCAACCAGATTTAATTTGCCTATATCAAAAAGCATACTAAGTAGTAATAATCACTCATCTTTATAAAAAAGTAACCATAAACTCCAAACTTACCCACAGTACCAATACAATTCCAGAGAACCGGTCCTTTGTCGACTAAGGCCAGGAAAACTTTTACTATGGCTCTGCAACACACCAACTGCATTTTGGAACTATACTGTGGGAAACTATCTATCTGTGCCACCATGAGGTGTTCCAGAACTGGCGTATACACCTCAGGAACCTGTCAGACATATAGAATAGAGCACACCAAGTCAGGGGGGGGGAATACAAAATACAAGAATAACACAAATATTCTAAGTAATCACAACTCTATTACTTAGATATCGTTGCTGTTGTTAGGTGTCACTAAATTACTTCTGACTCTGTATAGGGTTTCTGAGGCTGTAAATCTTTACAGGAGCAAAAGCTTTCATCTCTCTCCCACAGACCAGCTGGTGCATTTGAACTGCACTTCTTGTGGTTAGCAGTCCAATGCTTTTCCTACCTTATCACAAGTGCTCCTAGTCAGATACCAGGTGAATGAAAAACCTAGCTTTTTTATCTAATGGGCTAAATTTATCATTTATTATTGGAATTGCCTAGGAAACCTCAGAATGAAATTGTCTGAAAGATATTTGAAGCACTACTCTGTCCCAAGCAGCAATTTTTAATCTTTCAGGAAAACAAAGAATAAATTTTCTTCTTCGTTTGCCAAAGTATCAAATTTCATGACAGTAATTCTATTTGCACAAAATATTAATTTAAAATGTAACTTGGTTCTCAACAGTGCCTATAACAAATGATCAGAGAGCTCCATCAAATTTGAGGAATTAAGGTTAAATGGGAGCGTGGTGTTTCCATAGGAAAAGCATTGGACTAGAAACAAGGTTAGTGGTTTGAGCACACCAGCTGCTTCACAGAAAAAAGATGAGACTTTCTGCTTCTGCAGATATTTACAGCCTCAGAAACCCTATACAGGGTCGTTATGAGTTGAAATCTACTCAACAGCATTTAACAACAACAATAAGGTTAAATGCTCAAAATTATGTTCAACTGAATGAGCTCTTTACTTACGGTGTCAAGGCAAAGCAAGACACTGGCAATTGACTGGAGAAAACTTGGCATCTGGTAGACATGGTCATCGTCGGTGTCTGTCTGAGTCAGGAACATCTGTCTGCAGCGCTGAATGAGTTCGACATACATCCAGTCCACATTTTCTGCACTAATAGCCTTACAAGGCTTTAAGAAAAGTACAACAAAGAACTTCATCACTCTTAGCAACACCAAAAAACCATATTTAATTCATTATATTAAGCCGTATAATCACAAAGTGAATAATTAACAAGCTTTTTGAAAAGGAAGAAATACAGATTCAAAACACAATAGACCTATAAAAATGCTTTATAAAACAGTCTTTATTCACACACAAAACATTTACTGACTGTTAACTATGAGGGTAAATCAAAAAGTATTGCTACAAAATCATAGACACCTTTACATAACAAAAATATCAAAATGTGCAGCTACTGTTTCTAACACATCCTCCAGCTAAGTCTAAACAAGCCTTTCTGAAGGTGGTGCTTCCATCTCTCTCTATCCCTTTCCTGAAGAATTCTGCTCTCTTAATTTGCACATGATGTTTAAACATGTTCTATTTGGACTAAACCCAGGCATGTATGAACTAGATCCCTAGTAGAAACACTTTTTGACATATCCTTATAGATTCTAGGTTTTATTTGGATGGTAAAGTCCTGGTGTGGCGCTGTAGGATAAGCACTGGAATCTTAACCAAAAACTGGGTGGTTTAAACCCACCAGCTGCTCTGCGAAAACACTATACAGGATTGCTATGAGTCAGAACCGATTCAAAGGCACTTAACAACAACAATGAAGATGGTAAGAGTCAAACACAAATGAGGCATGGTCCCGGCATACACAGGGCTACCATCTACAGGAAGAGGCTGACAACTCAACACACAAACAGAATATGCTACTCCACCATTTCACAATGCTGTTATTTGGTACCATGGAGTCGGTGCTGATTCATAGAACACATTAACAGAACGAAACACTGCCCATTCTGGGCCAACCTCATAATCACTGTTACGTTTGAGCCCACTGCTTCTGCCACTGTGCCAAACTATCTAGTTGGGGGACTTTCCCTTTTTCTCTGACCCTCCACTTTACCAAACAGGATATCCTTCTCTGGGGACAGGCCCAAAGTATGAGAGGCGAAGTCTGGCCATCCTGGCTCCCAAGGAGCATTCTGGTTGCACTTCTTCTAGCATAGATTGGTTTGTTGTTTTGTCAGTCCATGTTACTTTTAATATTCTCTTCCAACACCATGACTCAAAAATATCAATTCTTCTACTGTCTTCCTTATTTACTGTCCAACTTTCACATGCATATGAGGTTATTGAAAATACCATGGCTTGGGTCAGGCACAGTGTAGCCCTCAAATGTATATCACTGCTCTTGAACACTTTAAAAAGGTCTTGTACAGCAGATTTTCCTAAGGCAACATATCATTTGATTTCTTGACTGCTGATTCCATGAGTGTTGATGGTTGATCTGAGCAAAATGAAGTTTTTGACAACTTCAATCTTTTCTGCATTTATGTGGATGCTGTTTATTGATCCAGTGGTGAGGATTTGTCTTCTTTACATTGAGGTGCAACCCAACCCATACTGAACATTATGGTCTTTGTTCTTCCTCAGTATTTCAAGTCCTCTTCTGTCTAACAAGCAATATTGGATCATTTGCATACTTTAGTCTTCTTCTAATCCTGATGCTACATTTTTCTTCATATACCCCAGTTTCTCAGGTTATTTGTTCAGCATACATATTGAATAAGTACGGTGAAAGAACGCAACCCTGGTACACACATTTCCTACTTTTAGACCATTCAGTGTTCTCTTGTTCTCTCTGAACAGCTGTCTCTTGGTCTATGTCCAGGCTCCTCATGAGCACAATGAAGTATTCTGGAATATTCACTCTCCGCAATATTGCCCATAGCTTATCATGATCCACAGAATTGAAAGCCTTGGCATAGTCAATAATGCACAGGTAAACATCTTTCTGGTATTGTCTGCTTTCAACCATAATCCATCTGAAATCGGCAATGAAATTCCTCGTTCTACATCCTTGTCTGAATCTGGCTAGACCCCCTGGCAAGTCTCTGTTGATGTACTTGTGTAGTAGTTTTTATATTAGCTTTAGCAAAATTTCACTTGTATGAGATATTAATGATATTGTCTGATGACTTCTGCTCTCTGTTGGGTCACCTCTCTTTTGAATGAGCACATATATGGATCTCTTCCAGTCACTTGGTCAGGTATTGCCTTCCAAATTCCTTGGCATAAATGAGTAACTCCTGTGCTTCATCAGTTTGTTGATAGATTTCAATTTGTATTCCATCAATTCCTGAAGCCTTGTTCTTTGCCACTGCCATGCCTTTAACCTACCTTGGACTTCTTCCTTCAGTATCATTGGCTCTTGATTATATACTACCTCCTGAAATGGTTGAACATTGCCCTTTTTTTAAATTTTGGTAGTGACTCTGTGTATTCCTTCCATCTTCATTTGATGCTTTTTTCATTACTCAATATTTTGCCCATAGAATCCTTCAATATTTCAAGTTGAGACTTGAATTTTTTCTTCATTTCCCTCAGCTTGAGAAATGTTGAGTGTGTTCTTTCTTCCTTTTGGTTTTATAACTACAGGTCTTGGCACATTTTGTTATATAATATTTGACTTTGTCTTCTCGAGCAGCTCTTTGAAATTTTCTGTTCAGCTCTTGAACCTCCTCATTTCTTCCACTGGCTTTAGCATATTTATGCTGGAGAGCAAGTTTCAGAGTCTTTTCTGACATCCATTTTGGTTTTTCCTTTTTTATTGTCTTCTTAATATCATCCCACAACTCTTCTGGTCTTAGACCTTTAGTGTCTAATATATCAAATCTATTCTTCAGATGACCTCTAAGTTTATATGGTGTATGGTCAACGTCATATTTTGGGTCTTGTGGACTTGTTTTAATTTTCTTTGGCTTCAGTCTGAACTTGCAAAGGAGAAATTGATGGTGTACTCCACATTGATGGACTTCCTTTGGCAGATGATATGTAGCTTTTCCACCATTTCTTTCCACGGATGCAGTCAATTTGATTTCTGTGTATTCCATTTGGTGAGGTTAGGCGTCTTTTATGCTGTTTAAAAAAAGTATTAACAATGAACAAGTCATTGGTCTTGCAAAATTCTATACTGTAATTTCCAGCATCATTTCTACCAGTAAAGGCATATTTTCCCATGACAGATCCTTCCTCTTTGTTTCTGACCTTTGCATTCCAATCACCAGCAATGATCAATACACCCTGATTGCATGTTTGATTGATTTCATACTGAAGCCGTTGACAGAATTCTTCAATTTCATCATCACTGGCTTTAGAGGTTGGTGCATAAATTTGAATAATAGTGGTATTAACTGATCTACCTTGTAGATGTATGGATATTATCCTATCACAAACAGCAGGTGTTGTACTTAAAGACAGGTCTTGACATGTGCTTTTTGATGATTAATGTGATCCCATTCCACTTCAATTTGTCATTCTCAGCATAGTAAACCATGTGATTGTCAGAGTCAAAATGGCTAATACCAGTCCATTTCAGTTCACTAATGCTCAGGATATTGACATTTATGCATTCCATTTCATTTTTGACAATATCAAATGTTCCTAGCTTAATAATACTTACATTCCATGTTCTGATTACTAATGGGTGTTTACAGCTGTTTCTCTTCATTTTGAGTTGTGTTCCATCAGCAAATGAAAATCTTGAAGGCTTTTTAATGCATTTGCGTCATCATAGTCAAGTCTACGTTGAAGAAGCAGTCCTTCTTCAGTGGTATCATGAGTCCCTTCCAACCTGAGGGGATCATCCTCTGGCACTAACTATATCTGACAATATTCTGATGCTCTTCATATTTCAATAGTCAATATTCTGGTGCTAGCTGACAGTGTTCCACTGCTATTCATAAGGTTTTCAGTGACTAAATATTTGGAAGTAGTCTGTCTCTCCTTCTTCTCAGACAGCCTTGGTCTGGAAACTCATGTGAAACCTGTCCATATTGGTTGACCTTGCTAGTATCTAAAATACCAGTGGCATAGCTTCCAGAATCACAGCATCACACAAACCACCAGAGTACAACAAATGGATAGAGTTGTGGATCTCATAATGCCTACTACTGAATATCCAATTTTTGAAAAGTTCTTTCAACTTCCAATTCTGGTTTCTCTGTTGTTGTCCTAATTCTCTGTTCATTTGTCATGCCCTGACCACACACATGAAGCAATAAGAAGCAGGTGCTAAAAATGCATCTCTCAGACTATAAGCTTCTCACCTTGCTTCCTCTCCATTACAAATAATTAAAGAAGTCAAAAGACAAATGGAGAAGAAGATTTAAAAACAAAAGAAAAAAAAAAAAGGAACAGAAGTTTGTAAGAGAGTTAGAGACCTTGGCAAGAATATATATACATATATACATATATATAATCTTAGCACATAGTAAGCACTTAAACCCTTAACTTAAACAACTTAAACAAACAGCTAATGATTAAAAAAATTATATATATATATATATATATATATATATATATATATAAAAATATATATAAAAAGATAAATCAAAATGAATAAGTCATACTCCTGCAAAGAGTCCGTATCCACGAATAGCGATTGATAACTCCTTGTTGCTTGAGTCCACATTTCTGATGATTTCATAAAATTGTTTCATAAAGTACTGCAGTGTACTCTTATGCTTTTCTGCATCTTTTGCCACCATAAACGAAACCTGTAATGGATGGCATGTATTTTGTTAACGAACACTTGTAGCAAAATAAAAGAATCAATATAAACATGAAAAGGCTTATTGTTGTTGTGTTGTTGAACTGACTGCAAGTCCTATCGTACAGATAATGAACTATTACACAATGTTAAAGAATAATGGTGAATCAGTGAAATATCTCATTACATACATGAACCAAGGGGACATTATCCTGAGTAAAACCAGTCCATCACAAGAGGGAAAAGTTATTATATTAGACTTCTACTATAAAAGTTCAAGAAAAGGTTTACACGTAGAAAAAATCATTCTTTAAAGATTACCAGGAGTGGAAGGAGGAGGGAGGGTAAATGACTAAGTACAGGATAGACATGTATTAATTTAGTTGAAGGGATGGTTCCTAGGTACCACTGTGGATAACTCTAAAACAGATCACAATAGAAGGTCCTAGATAGAGTGGAAGAAAAATGTGGACCAAAACTCAAAATCATAAAAAAGACTATCTTTACTGATATGATAGAAAATAATGGGACCCTCAAGACTAGGGTCCTTAGACCCTCTTCAAGCCTGGAACTAAGCTCTACCCCATGGCTCAACTTTCAGTCAAATGATAAACAGGCTTCTGAGGTGAACAATAGCACAAGCAAGGTTGCCATTCCTTAGAACAACTAACTATACAAGCTCAAAAGGACAGCATTTGCTCAGGGATTAGATCAGAAGGCAGAAAGAAAAAGGAAAGAAGAACAAAGGGACTGGCAAACACAGGGAAGAAGCAGGGTGAGTGCTGTCATATTGGAGGGATTGCAATCAATGTCACAAAAGAAAATGTGCATGAATTAATTGCTGAATAAAAAACGAAGCTTCGCTGAAGACTTTCACCCAAATCAGATGGAGCCAGGGTTCAGGGATGCCACCACTTGTGTATCCCCCACACAAGTTCCTTCTTCCCAAGCAAGTCCTATCCACCTGTATTCACTCAGGAACACTGCCTGAAATTCTACCGGTGATGAGATTTATTTGAGCAAATGTTTATTGAGTTCCAAATATATTTGTGTGATGTAGTAAATAATTTGTCAAACTTTTATTTTCCTTAAAAACTAAGATCTGTCAAATTAAGCAGAACAGGAGTTGTTACTAGAAGCAAGGAAGAAGGTCATTGGAATGCCAGAATAATTTGGGAGCAAGGGCAAGCCTGATGGGCAGGGGAAGGATAGCAGAGGATATTAAAAAGGTGAAAGGGGCTGGATGAGAGAGCAATATCCAAGGACAGAGGACATCGATTCTACATTTTTGTTAGAGTTGGGTCCACACCTAGAAAAAGGATGGCAACTTCTTCTCTCTCCCATGATCCTCTTGTACATTCTGGCCCTGATCTGGGGCCACTACTATTTATATCATGGTTCAGATGGTTCACAGACTAGCCTGTGAATTTAACTACCATTGAATTTAACTACCATTTAACCATTTGTAACACTGCTTCAAAGAAAACTCTTTCTAAGGATCTTCAGTACGTACCATCAAAGACAACCAAGGCAGTGCAATCTCCATGCCTTGAGACTGTAAAGCAAGTCTTTGTAGGTACCTCTGAGTATCTCAGCTCTCCATGCTAATTGTAAAATGTTCCCATACTTGCAGGCTCAAATTCTGAACACACCCCACCTGGATAGATATCAGACAAAGGCAAGCAGGCTCTCCCTGCTCTGGCCACACCTACCATCACCGGACCTGCGCACTCCACCAAGCTGTACGTCTGATACCTCAGCCCTGGCTCACAGGTTCTGCTGACCACCCAGTCTCTCCTCCTACTCCTTCTGACCCACTTCTTCTGTCCACTAGACTCTACCTCTCCCTTAGTTCTGAGGTCACATAGCTGACCTGGAATTTTACTTTCAGTGCTGCTGCCACCCAGATACCGGATCAATAATAAAGTTTTGTTTTGTTTTTTACTTATCACAGAAGTCAATGGATTGAATTATGTTTACCATTCAAATGTATATGCTAGTCTAGAATGTTTATTCTGTATGTGTGGAAATATATATTTTTTTAATGAATGCTGAACTCCCAGTACCTGTTTCAGAAAAGCTTCCAAGGCCGAATGTGCAGATTTCTTCATTTCTACATTAAGATGGCTACACCATTTTGACAGCACTTCAAATAAGGAAGCATAGTTGTCCAGAAGGCAGGTGCTGAACTGGGAGGCATGTAAGGCAAACAAGCGCAAACCAGCTGCAATTACAAAGTTGTCATATTTAAAACATGGCAATGTGAGCCAAAACAAAGAACCGAGAAAGCTTCCAGCTTGTGTCAAAATTCAAGCTGTACTCATGGCGATCTAATACTACTATGATATAACAACCCAGGGATCACTGGAGGGCTGACACCACCAGTCTCTACTTGAATTGACAATCCCCACTGTGACTGAAGAAACCCAAAGGGAGGCACAGGAGTAGCATAGGGATATTTTAGACAAAGATGCCCTAAATAATTCCTTTTAAAATCATTTAATCTAACCTTAGCGGGCAGTGAGTTTATGTTAAGAAGGGCAAACAAGTCAAAAAAGGTGGGTGATAATGATGGAACTCAAAGAAAGTAACTAATCTCAATGAATTGGACACAGAGAAACTGTTGAATTGGTATGTTTTGCTATTTATAATTTCAACAACAACAAAATAAGTAGGATTTTTTTTTTAATCATTTAATCTAAATGTGACTATTTCAACCAGCTTTTGTATCCCCCCAAAAGCTTCTCTGTAAATCTTTTTCTGTAAAAATCACAGATGTGAGCATATTTACTGGCATTCATCATTTAAGCAAAAGTCAGCTAACGACATAAATTTAGTAATCTAAGAAATTATACTTATGTAGAGAATTATACCTGAAGGCACTGCATATCTCTTCAGGTCAATCTATTTTAGGGGGAAAAAAAAATCATAATCAATGTATGACTATAACAAGTTTCAACGTAAAACAATTAGAGTAATATTCACTCTACCTGAGGACAAATTGCCTTCAGCGCAAAATCAAAAATCTCCTTTGAGGTCTGGGGATCTGGAAAAATAACAAGACTGTGTTACAAATTTCAGACAACTTCATACTACATTAACCCAAGGGCCCTTGTAAATTCAGGAGGTACATCTTACAGCCTTTCCAGCATCCAGAGAAATGGAAGAGTTAACTACTGTAGTGGAGCAGAAAAAGTAATCTGGAATAACACAAACCTGGATCTAAATTCCAACTCATCATTTACAAGCTGTTACATCATCTCCGAGTTTGTTTTTTTGTTAAAAATTTCCCTATGCATTGGACTGCTAACCACAAGATCAGTAGTCTGAATCCACCAGATGAGGCTTTCTGCTCCCATAAAGTGTAATTATAGCCTTTGAGGTGGCTGGTGGATATGTGCCGTGGAATCAGTTCCGACTCATAGCGACCCTGTGTAGGGTTTCTGAGGTATAATCTTTACAGGAGCAGAACGCCTCATCTTCTCCTGCGGAACAGTTGGTAGTTTCGAATTGCTGACCTTGTGGTTCACAGCCCGATTCGTAACCACTACGCTACCAGAGCTCCTTGGAAACCCTATATAGGGTTGTTATGAGTCAGAATTGACTTGACAGCACACAGCCACCACCAGGCTTGTTTTAGGTATCAAATGAGACAATTCAAGGACCACCAGTGTACCCAGTAATTATGGGAATAACAAAGATAGACAAATAACTATGAGGCTCATATAATCTTGCCTGATTTAAATTACAATTTCTTAAATAACTATACCCCACCAGATGGTTTATTGCCAATTACACAGAAATCATACTTTCTTCATTAGTAATTTCTCTGCCCTTAAAAGGGTGACCTCAAAAAGACAGGAAAGAAAAAAAGACATAAGTGGATGTCAAAAGAGACACTGAACCTCGCTCTTGAGCACAGAGAGGCTAAAGCAAATGGAAGAAATGAGGAAGTACAGGAGCTGAACAGAAAATTTCAAAGAGCAGCTTGAGAAGATAAAGTCAAGTATTATAATGAAATGTGCAAAGAAAGATCTGGAGTTAGAAAACCAAAAGGAAAGTACACAGTCAGTATTTCTCAAGTTTAAAGAACTGAAGGAAAAAGTCAACCCTCAACTTGAAGTGCTGAAGAATTTTATGGGAAAAATGGAGTCCTGGTGTGGTGCTGTGGGTCAATGCGCTGGATTGCAAAGCCATTTGAACTGCAACATTGGTGGTTCAAGCTCACCAGTCACTCCCTGGAAGCCCTATACAAGGCTTCTATGGGTTGGAACCGACTTGTTAGCACTTAACAACAACCACATGGGCAAAATATTGAATGATGCAAAAAACATTAAAGAAGATAAAAAGGCCAGAAGACAAGCTTACAGAATGTGCCCTTTAATTGTTTAAATTATTATATATTCCTGAGTGGTTTTGTGTACATCCCTGCCTCCCCCCTCCAAAAAAAACACCCAAGGGAATAGAAGCAAATAATGTTGAAAGATGATGTACAGAGATTGGACTCATTGCAATGAAGCGACGAGTGTAAAAGTAATGTTCTCCCATGTAAACTATCATTTAATTCACAATAAAAAGTTAAAAAAAAAAAAAAAGACGAAGCGATGAAACAATATTGAAGATGAAGCCTGGGTGCCAAAATTATTGTGCCCAGATCAACTGTAGACATGAACAGAAATTTCAATGAAATGTTAAACAAGTGGGGTAAGATTCTGAAGCATTTCTTGGTAGAATTGTAATAAGAGAGAAGACATGGCTTTAACAGTAGAATCCTAAAGACAAAGCATAATCAGAACATTGGTTACCAAGAGGTGGAAGTGATTCAGTCAAAGCAAAGCAGACCAATCTCTTGATTGGTTATGACAACATCAGTGGTGATGGCAACAATTTTTGAAGACACTTGAGATATTTTGCTTGCTGACTTTCTGAAAGGCCAAAGAACAAATAACACCTATTTATAATTAGAGTGATTTAAGAAAGTGAGTTGAAACTTTAGAAGGAAAATTCCTGGGAAAGTTTCAACAGAGGGTCCTCCTCTACCACCACAGTGCTCCTGGTCATTTCTGTCCTCAAACAAGGTAAATTTATAAGAGTTTTTATGAGAACTCATTAGACATCCACCTTGCTACCCTGATTTGACTCCTGACTTCCTAATCTTAAAAAATCATTAAAGGCACCCATTTTTCTTCAGTTAACAATGTTAAAAAAAAACTGCATTGGCATGTTTAAATTCCTAAGACCCTCAATTCTTTCGGAATGGATAAAATGGCTAGTGTTATTGCTATTTTTAAGTGCTGTCGAGTTGATTCCGACTCATAGTGACCCTGTATAAAGTTTCTGAGGAGCAGCTGGTGGGTTTGAACTGCTAACCTTTTGATTTGAAGTCCAGTGCTGACCCTACAACAGCTGGTATTAATGCTTACAAAATTGTCTTGACCTTCAAGGAACTTATGTTGGGAAATAAAGTTTATATTTTTATCTTAAAAAAAAAGATAAAAGACCTACACAGAGTCACTGTACCAATAACAAATGATCAATGCTAAAACAATCTAAAAAGAAGATGTAGAAGAATTGATGCACGTAAATTACAGTGTTAGAGAAGAATACTGAAATTACCATGGACTGCCAGTAAAACAAACAAATCTGTCTTGGAAGAAGTACAGCCAGAGTGTTCCTCAGAAGCCGAGATGGCGAGCCTATCTCTCTTACTTCAGACATATTACTAGGAGGGACCAGTTCCGGGAGGACATTATGCTTGGAAAAATGGAAGGTCAGCAAAAAAGAAGACTCCCACTAAGATGGATTGACCTGAAGCAACAATGGACTCAAACATAACAACTGTGAGGACTGCACAGGACCCGGTAGTGAGGGTTTCATTCTGTGTGCATAGGGTCGGAGCCAACTCAACATCACCTAACAACAACACAACAGCCACCCACAAATAGCAGAGGTTCAAAAACTGATTGCTTAGATGGCAGTACACCCAACTACCAAGAGAACTCACCAATAAAAGTCTACGGATATAGAACTTGACCTACACCTATGCATGCAGTAGCTCAAAAGAGGAAACAAATCTTTACAGTGAGGATCATTCCCATCCTCTTGATACACAGGATAGATAGGGATAGGCAACTTGGACATTGGCTATCCAAAATGGAGGGCTACAAAGGCAAGAACCGACTGGCTTACAAGCTTTCAATAGGGAGCCTAGATACAGGGGGTGCAAAGGAAGGTAGAATCTCCACTGAGTAGTATCCAATCTGTCTGGGCAGGGCTGATAAAAGGAGATGGGAATAGCACTCATGTGGTACAGTAGTGAATAATTACTATCAGGACTGACTGTGAAGGTTGGAAATGTAAAGGTTGCTTTTTTGTAGCAAAAGGTGGGAAGTAGTTGACTTTGCAGTCTAGGAGCTAAGGTCCTTGTGACCATCAAGGGAGAAGAGTGAAATGTTGTACCCTATCCAGAGAAACACTGATGCCACAGAGATGGAAACAGAAGACGATGACATGGAGAGATGGAGTAACTAGGAATTCTAGACCCAGAGAGGGAGAGGGGCTGTGTGCTGACGACCAGGGTGCAGGCTTGCATGGTATATATACCCTTTGGTTGGTTATGATGCATGGAGAGGATTATAACCATGGCAATGAAATGATATACGATAAAATGAATGTAAAGCTAATGTTCTCCTATATAAACTGTCACATAATTCACAATAAAACATTAAAAAAAAAAAAGTCTATTGATATAGATAACAACTTAGATGGGTCTCAAGGGAATTATGACAAGTGAAAAAAGCCATCTTCAATATGCTATATATTATGAAACCATTTACACAATATTCTTAAAATGACAAAATTATTGAGATCGATACAGATTAGTGGTTGCCACTACAGAGGGCAAAAAGGGGGAGCTTTATGCTAATGGAACTATTCAGAATTTTAACTGTGGTCGTCAAGATACAGGACTACAAAGGTGAGGGTATCACGTAGAACTAAATAAACATACATACACACATACATACATATACATGCATATAAGCTGTTGGAATGTGTGTTAGGTAACTGCATCAGTTTAATGTCAGTATCCTAACTGCATTATGGTACTGTAGTTACAATTACAAAAGATATCACCAATGGTGGAAATTGCTTGTCAATCTACAATCAGTCAAAAAGTTCAAAAAATTAAACCATAGGCAATTCTTTTGACATGATTTTTGAATCGAGTAAGAATATCAAATGAAACAAAGAAATACCTTCCTCCATGGATTTCGTGAAGTTACACATGAGTGAAGATAGGCCTTTCAGACACCCTGCCACAACAGGGAGTTTGGGCTGTCGCACAGTGGATGTCATCTAAAGGGAAAGATTTAAGATGGTATCATTAAAAGAGAAAACATATCCAAGTCAGTGGAAGCACAATATCTTACAGTCAATAGTAGTTCAAAATCATACCTGGGTCTTAAGTTCACCCAAAAAAGCCCGGAAGAGTTTTTCTGAATTATTCATCATCTCGCTAGGCTGCACTTCACCTAATACTCCTAGAAGCTCATATATTTTTTCTAAAACTGAAAAACAAATTTTAGACAAATGAAGGCCCAATATATAATTAAATGACTGAAACTAACAAACATATAATAAGAAAATGAGAGGCTGCTTATTCAAAAGCAATTTCACAATAAAACATAACCAAGTAGTTTTGAATGATGGAATCTTTTTTGATGAGTGTTACACATTTCTATTCTTTTCAATTAAATTATATTTGTATTATGTTGTGCCTTCTATTTAATCATTTTGAAAAAATTAAAACTTTCATAAATAGAAGTCATTTAAGTGGAGTTATTATACATTTTCACTTTGGTTTGTTTTCATCAAAAAAGATTCATCTGTAAAATATATACAGGTATACCTATATTGAAGGAGCTCTGGTAGCATAGTGGTTACGAATAGGGCTGCTAACCTCAGGGTCAGCAGTTCGAAACTGCCAGCTGTTTCACGGGAGAAAGATGAGGCTTTCTGCTCCCGGAAAGATTTATCGCCTCAGAAACCCTGTACAGGGTCGCTATGAGTTGGAACCGACTCCATGGCACACAACAACAACATACCTTTATTGCTATTAAGTGTTTGGCGACCGCCACAATAAAGTGAATATTGAAATAGTCATACAAATTGTATACAACATTATGAAAAAGTTTATAATATTGTAATTACCAAAATGTGAGCACATGTTGTTGGAAAATGGTACCAATTGCCACAAACCTTCAATTTGTAAACAACAACAACAACAACAAAAATCATATCTGCAAAGCTCAATAAAATGAGGTATGCCTGTAAAGATCTTGATGTTGTTAAGTACCATCTAGTAGATTCTGACCCATAAAGACCCTGAATAGGGTTTCCAAGGAGCAGCTTTCCAAGGAGAGCAAACCACTGACCTTACAGTTCAAACGACTTTGATAGAAACCTAAATTTTACTCTAAGAAAATGCTATGTTCACTTGTTATTTTAGAATAATATTTAAAATGCATCTCACCTGTATCTGGTATTTTTGTTTTCAAAGCAAGTTCTCCATAAAATTTGCTAAATAATTCTCTAACTTTGAATTCCTCCATGAGGCTGGAACTTCTCAAAGTCTGAAGTAACTATAAGAATACATATTAGCATTTACCAAAGACAAGAATAAAGAAAAGGTTTTCATCTCATTCAGTGCATGTATTAAATCAATAAAAACAACAGAGTGGAAGCCAAGTATCTCTAAGAAAGCACACATGCCTCCTGAAACTCTTACCTACCTAGATTATTTAGAGGCAGGGTCTGAGATAGGGCGAGAGGGCTACAAAGGGGGCAGGTTGATTCTACTTCCCTAAGAAACCAATAAAATGACTAGAATCATTCCCTCAGAGGTTTTCAAGACCAAGGACCAATCCGACCCTAAACCATAAAAACCCACTGCCACAGAGTCAATAACCCCATGTGTTTCAGTAGAAGGAAATATAAAAAATCTGAAAAAGAGATGCAAGTAAAAGTGAGGGTGAGCTACAAGAACCATTTTGATACATTTTTATTGTCTTTGCTAAGGTTATTATAAAGAACTGGGATACAATGAGGCAATGGTTTGATTTTTTGACAATTCCTAGTTGCAAAAGCTTTCACTAAAGCGTATTAAGGGTGATAAATGGAAGTGTAGCAGATACCATTGTGACTTTTTGTTTTTATTCCTCCCTGCTACCCAGGTATTGTTAGTGAAAGATGAAAAATGTGCATCTTATGCATGTAGCAATGAGATCAAATCCTATCTTCCAACCATTCACAACCCAAAAGAAAACCCCAAAACCTAGTTTAATGTTTTATAAGTTGTATGTTTAATACAAAATGCATGTACACAGAAATATAAAATTACCTTAATAAGAAGGTCTAGGGCTGGAATTTTACATTTAGCAGCTTTATCTTTTGTATAAACACTGGTACAAGTATTCTAGGTTTTAAAAGGAAATGTATTAAAATCAACAGCATTGACAGAGACACACTATATATTAAAGAACCTTGTAAATTATAAAGCATTCTACAAAGCAAGTTATTATCACTTCAGAGACATTTTTAAAATACTAAGATTTTAACCAATAAATAATAAAAGTGAAGGGAGAACAAAATCAAAGCCTATTTTTTTCAAAACAAATAGCTATTTAAAATAGTATGTATTCAATTTGAAATAATTTATAAGAAAACATTTTATAAACTACAGTTGTTGTGGTTAAAGTGCCTCGAGTAGGTTCTTACTCAGCGAGCCTCTGTATAGGATTTCCAAGGCTTTTTTTCATATTGGCAGAAAGCCTCATCTTTCTCTCACAGAAGAGTTGGTGGGCTCGAACGGCTGCCCTTGTAGTTCACAGTCCAGTGCTTAGCTTATGGAGCTACTGTGCCCCCTCTTTTAAATTATAACTAGGTATAACAGGCTCATCATGAATTGAAATCGACTCAGCGGCAGGGCTCCTGGTGGCAAAATAGTTAAGCACTTAGCTGCTAACCTAGAGGCTGTCAGTTTGAACACAGCCAGTAGTTTTGTAAAAGAAAAACCTGGAAATCTGCTCACGGTCTAAAAGCCCTATGGGACAGTTTTACTCTGTCATACTGGTTTGCTAGGAATCAGAATCGACTTGATAGCACACCACAACAGCTATCATTTAAAAATATTATATCGCTTTTTTTTTATAATTACTTACAAGTTACCTTAGATTGAGTACATACTTTTTCATCAACTCTTAACTCACAAGAACTAGAAGCAAATTCAAGACTCCTAAGAACAACTTACATGGAGACATGGCATTTGTTTAAAGTATAACTAAACCTGAGAAAGAGCCACTCCATTTATGCTTATCATTTCTTAAGTGTTTTGTAAGCTCGCCACAATTTTAAAAATACAGTCATTTAGGATGACTTTTTATAAAAGGCATTCTAGAGCCCATGTACAAAAGTCATCAAAATAGTCTCGGGGGGAAAAAAAAAAGTCTTGGAAAAGAGGCTTAGCCTATTAAACACCCCCAAAAGAATATCCCACTTCATTTCTAAAACAAATCTCCTTACCTTCATATCAAGAGAATAAGGTGTAATCTTCTGACCAATTTTTTCTAAGAAAATATATAAAAATTTTAGGATTTCTTCTCTACAATCTCGAAACTGTAATGAAAGAAACACATATAGTATAGTAAATGATATAAAAAAAGAACGAGTCACTCTAACAAAAATGAATATACATGAAAAGTAAAATTAAAATTTCAACTTACTTCTTCAATGCTAAGTGATTTCTGTACAAAAACAAGCAGACCAAAATCTCTGGAAAAAAGTAAGGAAGTCTGTAATGCTGAAAAAAAGGAACAAAAGAAAATTAACTCCATTAACAACAAACCAACCTTCAATGAGTTGCCAGAGTGCCAGCTAACTACTCTACTATTAACCAAAAAGCTGGTGGTTAGAATCCACCTAAACACACTTGAGAAAACCAAAAACCAAAAACCAAACCCCGTTTCCATTGAGTGGATTCAACTCATAGCTCCCCTATCAGACAAATAACATCTCCACAAGGTTTGTAAGGCTTTAATTTTTACAAGAACAGACTGCTGCATCTTCCTCCTCAAGAGAGGATGGTGGGTTTGAACTACCAGTTAGCAGCTGATCACTTAATCACTGTGCATCAGGGCTCCTTTCTGGGCAGACAGCGCTGGCAATATGTTTTCCAAAGGTCAAAGCGCTGAAAACTCTCTGGAGCAGTTCTACTCTGCATACATGGGTCATCATAAATCAGAATCAACTCAATGGCAGTTAACAATAAAAGGGGTGCATGTTCCTCAATTCAACCTTATGAATAATAAAATAAAACACTAACCTAAAGCACCTGACTGCTAACTACAAGGTCAGTAGTTCAAACCCACTCCTTGGAAAGCCACTCCTTGGAAACCCTATACAGGGTTACTATGAGTGGGAACCAATTCCACACTTAACAACAAGACTGCCCTATCATAAGAAAGCAAGAAATTCTAGATGACATTCCATGGGAATTTAATAGGCAGAATAACGACTTTTCAGAGATGCTCTTGTCCATATTCCTGGTGTTATGTCTATGAATATGTTAACATTTGTGGTGCACTGAATTACTTAATATGGCCCTTGTAGTCCACTGGACTGCTAATCACAGTCAGTTGTTCAAACCATCAGCCACTCCTCGGAAATCCAATACAGGGCCAATGAGTTGAAACCAACTAAACAGCACTTAACAACAACACAGCTCCCATCAATGACTGTGTACACTGTGAGGTGCTGGTGGCCCACCCAAGAAATTGGATGTTGTGGCTGCTGTTAAGAGTTGTCAAACAGTCTGACTCATAACAACTCACTTTAGGGTTTTCGAGGCTTTAAATCTTTGCAGGAGCACAAAGCCTCATCTTTTTCGAGACCATGGAGCAGTTGGTGGGCTTGAACCATGTACCTTCTGATGTGCAGTACAGTGATTATTGTACAGTCACCATGTACCCCAAGAGATTGGCTAGCTTACTAACAATGTAAATAAGGTGCATGACATCCTTGTGAGGATTGTTATTGCTGTTGTTGTTCAGAGGATTGTTGCTATTGTTGTTGTTAAGTGCCATCGAGTCGGTTCGAACTCACAGCAACCCTGGACAGAGTTTCTGAGGACCAGCTGGTGAGTCTGAACTGCTGACCCTAAGGTTCAAACAGACCTTGAGGTCTAGTCTTATCCTACAGTGGCTGCAATATGCATATAAGTAATCCTAACATGGAGATTGGTCAACTTTGCCATCCCACTAAACTTAAAATGAGTCATCCAAAAGGCAGAAAGGAGAATCTCACTACCATTAATAAAGAAGAGCCAGGAGTGGAGCGTGTCCTTTTAACCCAGGATTCCTGCAATGAAACTCCTCAATCCATGAGACAGAGAACTGTCGCACATAAGACAGTGATAGGTGGTGAGAAACGGTGGCAGAAAAGCAGTAGCAACAGAGGCAAAAGAACCAAGAGAACTGGCAGGCCTTTGGGCAGGAAGGAGGCTTGCTGGCAGAGTGGCGTGCCTCAGAGCGCTGATTGTTTGTGCTGTTTGGTATTCTTTGTTGTTAAGTGCCTTGGAGTCAGTTCTGACTCATAATGACCCTGCACAAGTTTTCTGAGGAAAGGCTGGTGGGTTAAAGAGCTTTATAACAATTGCCCAAGCAGAGGACAGGCCAAGAGAAGTGCATACCTTCAGGCATTGCTAAAAAGAGGCTGTCCTGATGGAAGAAATGTCTCCTGAGTGTTTCTGATCCTGAAATGTAGCATGCTACTTCCATAATAAAACCCCCCAACTGAGTATGGTTTGTAAATTCTGTGCATACATTGCCAAAGAAGAGAAGTAGAGTGCCACAGGACAGATGGCTAGGGTCAGAATTGTTAAAAAAAAAAAAAAGGTTAGAGGGTGAAGGTATATCTGACCTCTTCCTCTTCCTCATAGGATTCTGTCTTTGGCTGTTGATGCTAATGATCTTAATTCTCCTACCCTACACCTTGTGAAGGCAAGGAGGTCAGAAGCCACCCCCATGCCATTTTTATAGTATTACATTACAACAATGGACTTCTGGTGTGGCAAAGTAGGGAAGCACAGGACAATAAGGTCGGTTTGAACCATAAGGTTGACAGTTCAAACTCACCAGTCACTCCTCAGAAACCCTATACTAGGACGCTATGAGTTGGAACTGACCCTATGGCACTTAACAACAACATTACAACATAGCATTAAGGTTGCTAATCAATTGCCTGTAAAATAAGGATATGGTCTGAGATTACTTGGACAGAACCAATGTAATGGTGGTGGTGGTTGTGTGCCAATGAGTTGGTTCCAAATCAAAGTGACCCTGTGTAGGGTTTCCAAGGATGTAATTCTTCATGGAAGCAGAAAGTCTCATCTTTCTCCCACAGAGCAACTAGGCGATTCAAATTTCTGACCTTGTGGTTAGCAGCCCAGCTCATAATCCACTATGCTACCAGAGCAGCAGGTCCGTGGGAGAAAGATGAGGCGGTCTGCTCCCGTAAAGATTTACAGCCTCGGAAACCCTGTGTAGGGTCGCTATGCGTCGGAACCGACTCCACGGCACTTAACAACAACAACAACACCAGAGCTCCTTAACCAATGTAATCCTCAAAAACAAAACAGAACATCCAAACCCAATGCCAGAGTGACTTCACCTGTGACACAGTAGAACTTGTAGTTCTTGGCTGCAGTCTTTAAGGAAGCAGACTGCTAGGTCCTTCTTTCATAGCACCAACCTTTAGGTTAGAAGTCACACACAATTTGCATCACTTTGTTTTTGTTCAGTGCCCTCGAGTCGGTTCCGACCCATAGCGACCCTGTATAGGGTTTCCAAGGCTGTAAATCTTTACGGGAGCAGAAAGCCTCATCTTGTTCCCACGGAGTTAGAGACCTCAAATGTACTGGTAGTGTACTGGGTTACACTGGGTTACTAACCACAAGGTCAGCAGTTTGAATCCACCAGCCACTCCATGGAAAAGATGAGACTTTTTGCTCCCATAAAGATTTACAGTCTCAAAAATTATGAGGCAAATCCAACTTGATAGCACATAAACATCACTACTACCAATGCAATCAGATGGGCCTTAAAATGGAAGAGGCAGACAGAAAAGTCAGAGACATTTTAAGATCAGAAAAGGAGAGGTTGGAAGTGTGACAGGGACTTGACCAACTAACTGTTGGTGGCTTTAAAAGTAGAGGTAGGGAGTTTCTGGGGTGTATGTGTAGTGAGTCAGTTCTGACTCATAGTGTACCTGTATGTAGCTTCTGAGGCTATAAATCTTTATAGGAGCAGAAAGTCTCATCTTTCTCTTACAGAGCGGCTGGTAGGTTCAAACTACTGACTTTGCAGTTAGCAGCCCAACCCATAACCCACTACACTACCAGAACTCCTTAAGGGGTGCCTAGAAGCTAGGACCACCAGAGCAAGGAAACAAAGACTTACGGTTACAATACTTGTGGTTACAAGGATTTGAATTCTGCTAAAAAAAAAAAAAAAAAGTATTGAACAAGGAAACTAATTCTCTGGTTGTTGTTACTGTTAAGCACCATTGAGTCAGTTTCAAACCATAGTGACCCTGTATAGGGTTTCGAAGGAGCAGCTGGTGGGTTTGAATCGCCGACCTTGCAGTTAATCATCCAGTGCTTATCCTACAGCACCACATGAGGAAGAAGTTACAGAACGGAACACAGTCCAACTTTAGCCTAATAGGATCCATACAGAACTTCTGACCTACAAAACTATAAGATAAATTGGTGATGTTTTAAACCCCTGTGATATTGTTAGCTGCTGGTGTATCTGGCCCTGACTCATGGTGACTGCGTGCTTCCAAATGTCTCCACTGACGAGCTGCATGAGAGAAAAAAAGTCTAGCATTGAACCACTAATGCATCCACTTCAAACTCTAAGTTTATGGCATTGGCTAGAGTAACAATAGAAAACTGATGTTGTTGTGCACCATAGTATTAATTCTGACTCATAGGGACCTTACAAAACATAGTAAAACTGTTCCATAGTGTTTTCTGGGTTCTAACAGATCAGTAAAAAAAAAGCCTCTTTCCTGGTTCTTTGGCACCAGTACAATTTAATTTTCTTAAAACTTCTTCCTAATAACCCCCCAGGATCGTCCTGTATCATTTGAGAAAATCGATCAAGATTATTTCTTTGTAATTCCAAAAGACAATCGCCATAACTTTCTGAGCTGACCGCTCTTGAACTTACTGACCCAGTAGATCCCATCAGAAGCCACTGTTTTGATTGGACATTTTTTTTCCGAAGGCACCCTAACAAGACCAACACAAATGTATTACTGAGAACTTGTTTGCAGTCATCCACTGATCACATAGCCTTGTTTACTCACATTCGGAATAAACCCATGCATGTACCAACTGCTTGCTATCCTAGTAGCAATACTTGTTGACTTACCTGTGGATAAGGGGAATTCAAAGTTGGTGGGATAATGGAATTTTTCCATGAACTTTATGAAACCCCTGCTATCTAAGAACTATAGTCTTCTTAGCGCTGGTGGCATAGTGATTAAGAGCTTGGCTAGCAACGATTGGAACCCAACAGCCACTCTTCAGGAGATATGGGAGAAAGATGTGTCTGCTTTCTTAAAGACTGTTGTTGTTAAGTGCCGTGAAGTAGGTTCGACTCATAGCAACTCTGTATAGAGTTTTTGAGGAGTAGCTGGTGGGTTTGAACTGTTAACCCTGAGCTGTGGTTCAAAGTTCAGTGCTATTCCAACAGTTCCACACCGGGATTACAGCCTTGGGAACCCCATGGAACCATGGGACTCTGTCCTGAGTTATCTTGCTTTATACATTGTTGAGATTATCTCTCTGGCATATTCAACATAAACCTCTTAGAAGAAAACTTCACCTAGTCCCAATTAAGAGGAAATTGCATTAGTGAAGAGGTCCTTATACTTGTGTTTTAAAAAAGAACCGGAGATGTTTCCCTGTATCAAAATAAGTAAAGGCTGGATGGAAGCACTTTTACTACAAAGGGAAATTTTTGTATCCCATCCACATAATGTTATATACCTACAATTGTTTTAAGAGCAGAAACAGCAAATTTAGGGGTTTGGGGAGAGTAATGGAGACTTTAGATGAAATTAAGGTGGGAGTCCTGGTGTGGAGCTGAGGGTTAATGGGCTGGACCAAAAGTCAGTTTGAACTGCAAGGTCAGAGATTCAAGCTCATCAGTCGCTCCTTGTAAACCCTATTGTTGTTAAGTGCCATAGAGTCGGTTCCAACCCATAGGGACCCTGGAAACGGTTTCCTGGTGTGGTGCTGGGAGTTAATGCGCTGGATTGCAAGGTCAGTTTGAACCACAAGGTCTGCAGTTCAAGCTCATCAGTCGCTCCGAGGAAACTCTATACAGGGTCACAATGGTCGAAACGAACTTAACTTCACCTAACAACAACAATTATAACAAGATGGAAAAGTCCTGGTGTGGAGCTGTAGGATCAGCACTGGACAGCTAACCATAAGGTTGGTGGTTCGAACTCACCAGCCACTCCTTGGAAACCCTATACAGGGTCACTATGAGTCAGAACTGACTTAACTGTAATTAACAACAAGGTGAAAAAAAATACTTTTCTCCCACCACTTTGTCAGTGACTACCAAATATGGGGGCAGTTTCACAAACTTTAATTTTTAAACACCTCTCCACTAATTTCAAGAAGGAAAAGAAAAAGTGCTAAAACAATCCCTGGAGTAAAACTCAAAGCGCAAGCCGAAAACCCTACACGCGAGCCGCAGACTGGTACCCACCCAGCGCCGAGGGGCTGGCGCTCAGCACGCACTCCAGGCCCAGACCCCGAATCAGGTGATAACTGGACATCGCGGCGATGCTGTGGTCCACAGCGGATAAGGACTCCTGCAGTTGCTGCAAGGAACCTTGCAGACCGCCGCCCATAGCAGCCATAGCGCTGAACTTCGGCCGCACGCATGCGCACCCTGCTCCGGGACTTAAAAATGTCGGGCGCCGGTGTTAAGGCGGAGTTTACCACCGGGAGTCGCGTCATAGCTAGCAAGGGCGGGATTGAAAGCCGGGAACATAAGGAAACTGGGTAGATGCAGGAGGGCATCGCTCTCAGCGACCACGGCTGGAAACTACCTGGGGGCTCTTGCTGGCTTGTTTTCCGCTAGAGAGACACGTGTTCTAGCAGTCTGCTTTGACATTGGCTGAGGCGTTGGTCGGTTTCAAGCGGGCACACAGGGAAGAAACCTCATGCTTTGACCTCCGCAAATAAGTGGCGAGGGCAGTGCAATAGTGGTGCTTAAGTGCCATCCAATCGGTTCCAACACACTGTAGTTTGTATAGGATTTCTGAGGCAATAAATCTTTACTGGAGTAGAAAGCTTCATCTTTCCCCGCTAAAAGGCTAGTAGATTCGAATTTCTGTCTTTGCCTTTAGCAGCCCAGTTCGTAATCCACCACGCTACCAAGGCTGCTTATGAACAATAGTGTTGATGTTGTTGTTAGGGGCCATTGTTGTTGGGTACCGACCCATTGCGATTTTATGAGCAATAGCGTAGTGGTTACTAATCGGGCTGCTAATCTCACATTCAGCAGTTAGAAACTACCAGCTGTTCCGCTGGAGAAAGATGAGGTTTCTGCTCCCGTAAAGATTTACAGCCTCGGAAACCATGTTCCACAGCACATAACAACAACAAAGATTTACAGCCTCGGAACCCCTGTAGAGGGTGGCTATGAGTCGGAACTGACTCCACGGCACATAACAACAACAAAACTAAAGAAAGGAAAAAGCATTGGGGCCTACAATCTATAGAGTCGCAAGTTTGTTCCTTAGCAAAATGGACAATGCATTCGGAATAGGAACTAAAACCACCTTGGACCTGGGAGCCTGTGCGCCCCTTCCACGGAGGTCCAGTACCATGCCTGTTTGGAGTAGTTAAATTTCGTGGAGTCAATTTGACTCATAGCAACCCTGTATATGGTTTTCTAGCAGCGACTGGTGGGTTTGAACCACTGACACAGTGGTTCGCAGTCCGGTGCTTATCCTAAAGAGACACACCATAAATTGGGCGCCAGCGCGCCAGTTCTGCAGAAACCCCGCCTTGAGCCCGTATTTCCCGCCAAATGCCAGCAAAGACAGTCCCCCTTTAGAAACGCAGTGAAGCCTTCCGGGGCGGGGCGACGTGAGCGCGCCGCTACGATTGGTGGAACTCCAGCGAGGGGCGGGGATGGTTTGCGATCCGGTGCAAACCTTTGGTGTTCTTGCTGGGCTGGGCTGTGAGTCGGCTGAGGTCTTCCTGCACCAGTGACTGAGAGCGAGCTGCGGGGTCTAGCAGAGACTGGTGGGTTTGAACCACTGACATAGTGATTCGCAGTCCAGTGCTTATCCTAAAGAGACACACCATAAATTGGGCGCCTGCGCGCCCCTTCTGCAGAAGCCCCGCCTTGAGCCCGTATTTCCCGCCAAATGCTAGCACAGACAGTTCCCCTTTTGAAACGCAGTGAAGCCTTCCGGGGCGGGGCGACGTGAGCGCGCCGCTACGATTGGTGGAACTCCAGCGAGGGGAGGGGATGGTTTGCGATCCCGCGCAAACCTTTGGCGTTCTTGCTGGGCTGTGCTCCTGTGAGTTGGCTGAGGTCTTCCTGCACCAGTGACTGAGAGCGAGCTGCAGGGTCGGGTGGCGCACGCAGCCCCGCGAGGAGTGGAGGGGTTGGGGTCGTTTGGAGCCCTGCGAGAAATAGAGGGCCCGAACACGCGTTGGAGCGTGTCTGAGCCCAGTTCTCCTGCCCCACAGGTTCCGCGCCATCACCATGTCGTCCCCAGCGTCGACCCCCAGCCGCCGGGGCAGCCGGCGCGCCCGTGCCAACCACCTGCCAACGCGTAAGTTTCCGCCCGTCCTTGCACAATTTTACCGTGAATTCGCGTCCCCGCGCCCAGGCCCCTTTAACAAACGTTGCCTTTGGGGAGGAAGTGCTGCAAAGTTCACATCCTCCCCTGGCTCTGGTAGTTCCGGTTGTCATGTTAGCCATGCTTCTACCCACCTGTTCCACTTTCTTTGGTTCCTGCTTGTTAAATAATGGATCCTGTTCCAAGATTGGAGCAGATCCGGAAAGATCAAACCTGAGGCCGGTGGTCATTGCACTTTTCTGTTTTCTATGGCACAAGGTCAAAGTGAGGATGCCAGGTCTTCGCCCTCTCAGAGACAGATGGGTGAGGACTCCACTTCAGGAGAGTTGCAGCCCATGCCTACCTCGCCGGGTGCAGACCTGCAGAGCCCTGCTGCGCGGGACACCATGTTTTCTAGTCCTCAGCAGTTGAATCCTTCAAGTAAGTCTCCCAGGACCGGGGTTATGGGGTGGACAGTATACAGATGAGCCTTCAGGAGATCAGAATTGCTCTTAGTAGATTGACTACCCTTGCATAAGCTAATATAACAAAAGAATGGGAGGACAGAACTCAGAGATAACATATGTTAGTTTCTGCTTTAAGGTACCATTTAGTAGATTCTGACTCACAGCAACTTTGTACAACAAAACAGAACACTGCGTGGTTCTGCACTATCCTCACATCCTGGCTATGTTCCACTCATCTGTGCAGCCACTGTTTCAGTCCATCTTGTTGAGTGTCTTCCTCCTTTTCTATTATCAAGACTGAGGTCCTTGTACAGGGACTTGTCCCTCCAGATAACATATACAAAGTACATGAGACAAATTCTCACCATCTTTACTTTTAAGAAGCATTCTGTTTGTACTTCTTGCAAGAAGAACCAACTCCATGGCAAGAGGTTTGAGTTTTTGGTGACTGAGATTTTGAAGACTGCAAAGTGTAGTTTTCTTCCAAGACATTTATTCATTCTTCTAGCAGTTAATGGTATGCAATTCCTTTGATTTCCAGACTTCCATAGGTATTAATTGTGGATTAAAATAAAAAGAAATCCTTGACAACTTCTTTCTTTTCTGTGTTTATTTTGATGTTGCTTATTGGCCCAGTTGTGAGCAATTTTCTTTTCTATATGTTATGGTGTAATCTATACTGAAGACTATAGTCTTTGATCTTCATCAGTAAGTGCTTCAAGTCTTTATGTTTGGAAAGTAAGGTTTTGGCATCTGCATATTGCAGGTTGTTAATAAGCCTTATTCCAGCCCTGATGCCACATTCTTCATTTAGCCTAGTTTATCAAATTGGTTGCTCAGCACACAGACTGAGTAAATATGGTGAAAGGATACAACCCTCTCATACAACTTTGCTTATTTTGAATCACACAGAAGCTCTTGTTCTGGTAAAACAACTGCCTCTTGGTCTATGTACAGGTTTCTCTTGAGCACGATTAAGTGTTCTCGAATTCCCATTCTTCATAATGTAATCCTTAATTTGTTATGACCACACAATAGAATGTCTTTGCATAGTCAGTGAAACAGAGGTAAACATCTCTGGTATTCTCTGCTTTCAGCCAAGAATCTTACTTGAATTTCTGGCAACTCTTTGTCAATGCACTACTGCAACTTTTTAAAAATTGTCTTCAGCATAATTAGTATCTGGTGTTAGTGGTGGTGGTGGTGTGCTTTGGAGTCGTTTGTGACTCATAGCTACACTGCATAGGGTTCCCAAGGCTGTATGTAAATCTTTATAGGAATCCTCATCTTTTTCCCACGGAATGGCTGGTAGTTTTGAACTGCTGACCCTGAGGTTAGCATCCCGACTTATAACCACTATACTACCAGAGCTCCTTGGTTATTAATTGCTCAGTAATTCCACATTCTGTTGTATCACCTTGCTTTGAATGGGTATAAATATGGATCCCTTCCAGTTCATTGGCCAGGTAGCTATCCTTCAGATTGCTTGGCATAGATAATGATGGCATCAAACGTTGTATTCAGTGTTGAAATGTCTCAATTGGTGTGCAGTTAATTCCTTGAGTCTTATTTTTTACTAATGCCTTCAGTGCACTTTGGACTTCTTTCTTCAGTATCATCAGCTCTTGATCATATGCTACCTCTTAAAATGGTGAAATGTTGGCCAATTATTTTTGGTACAGTAATTGTACTCATTCCATCTTTTATTGATGTGTTGTTCAGTATGTTGCCCATGGTGGTTGGTAGTTCTGTGTCCCTGAGTTGGTTCCAACTCAGTAGTGACACTGTAAAGGGTTTCTGAGCCTGTAAAGCTTTATAGAAGCAGAAAGCTTCATCTTTCTCCCATGAAGTATCTGGTAGATTTTTACTTCTGAGCTTGCAGTTAGCAGCCCAGCTCATAATCCACTAAGCCACCAGGGCTCTTTTTATGTTAGAATCCTTTAATATCATAACTTGAGGCTTAATCTTTTCAATTCTTTCAGTTTAAGCAATGCTTTCCTTTTTGTTTTCTAAATTGAGGTCTTTGCATATTTCATAATACTTTGTCTTTTTGGGCATCCCTTTGAAATAATCTGTTTAGCTCATTTACATCATCATTTGTTTTAGCTATTCTACGTTAAAGAGCAGTTTTCAGGCTTTCTTCTAATGTCCATTTTTTTTGTCTTTCCTGTGTTTAACTTTTTACTTTTTTCATATATGATGTCATCTTACAATTTGTCTGGTCTTTTGTCATTCATGTTCAGTGTCTCCAGTTTATTCTTAAGATTAAAGTCAGATGGAGTATAATCGAGGTCATGTTTTGGCTCCTGTGTACTTTTAAAAATTTTCTTCAACTTCTACATGAACGTGCATGTGAGCAGTTAATGGTCTGTTCCTCAGTCAGCCGTGTTGTGACTGTTGATATTAGCTGATCCATCATCTTTTCACAGATATAATCAATTTGATCCTGTGTATTCCATCCAGTGAGGTTCACATGCATTGTTGTCATTTATGTTTTTGGAAAAAAAGTATTTGCAGTAAATAATGTTTTTGGTCTTATAAAATTCTGTCATGTGATCCCAGTATCATTTCTCTTACCAAGACCATATTTTC